GGGATAATAAGGTTTATTTTTATAAATATTATAAATATAATAGCTACTTTTAAAAAAACTATTATTATTTAAACCCTTAACTTTAACCTAATAGCTAGATTAAGCTTCTTAAAGTATAAGTATTATACTTAAATAAAACTAGTATAAAGCTATAAGCTATAACTTTATATAATAATAATAAATTTAATAATTATAACTTTAAATATAATAAATTAAAGCCTAAAATTAGCTTTAAATTTTTAATTATACCTGCTTTTATTATAATTATTAAATTAATAAAGTAGCTTATAAATATAAAATTAGCTAAGTTTTTTTTTTAAGTATTTTAACTTTAAAAATTATATAAAATATAGCCTAAACCACTTGGGATACTTATATAAAATATTTAATAAAGTAATTAAATATACTAAAGGTTATAAAACATTAATTATTACTATAAAAAATATAAATAATATATATAAAAAAATTAGGGTTTATAAATATTACACGCCTAAAACTCTAATTTACTTATTATTTACTAAAAGGCTAAAAAAAATGCTTGGTATATAGTATTATAAAAAAAATAATACTTTTATTAGCTTAAATAAAATTATTATAAGGCAAGCTTACACATGCCATAATATTTTTTTTAAAGTTTATATTTAAATAATATTTTTAATTAACTATAATTAATATAAATTTACTTTACAAGTGTCTTAATTATATAAATATTTTTAAATTTTATACCATGGCCCGGGCGGAAGGCCTTAATATAAATATTATTAATTAATTAAATTACTTTACTTACCTTAAGGCTAAATTTTATAAAATAATCCCGCGGGAAGTAAATCCAGGAGAACTATAATATATAAATATATAACTTATTTAACTAACTAAAATTAATAGTTTTAATTATTATTTTATAATTATTAATAACACCACTTAATTAGCCGCGGTATACTATGTTAAAAAAAGTATTTTAATAATTAATATTATATTAAAAATACTACAAGTGCCTTACGGGATAATATATTTATATTATTAAACTAAATAATAATAAAAAGTTTTTTAAGTATAAGGCCTAGGCTAAGCTAAAAGGTTTAATATTTTAATTTTTTTTACTAAAAACTTTAAAGTTTAATAAAATTTTAAAATATTATATTTAATATATTAATATAATAGCCTAAGCTATAAAAATTAATACTAGTTTATTAAAAAAAGTATGGCTTAAGATAATTAAGGCCGCTGTTAAAACCTTAAATTAATTATTTATTATTAAAAATTTTTATAGTAAGTTACCCCTATAACTTTAGTATAAATATTACTAAATTAATAACTTAATACCTTACCTTAATAACTTCCGCGCTTATAGCTATAAATTATATATTTATATATTAATTAAAAACTATAAATAATTTTATAAGCTTGCTATAAAAGCCTTAATTAGCTACCTAGTTAAATATAAAAAAAATAATAATAAAATCTTTTAAATATAGGTCCCGGGAAAGCAGGTTTACTACTTAAAGTATATTTTATTTAATAAATTAAAATTTTATAAAAATAATTACTTACTTAGTACTATATTTATAAAGGGTGCCCTACCTTAACTAAATAAATTAGTATTAGGGTCTATTATATATAATACTAAATTTAATAATATATTTATTTTTAAGCTAATTTTAATAATTCAGGCGCTTAAAATACTAATTACTAGCTAAATTTAAATTATATTTCTAACTTTATAGTACTAACTAACTTTAGTACCATGTGGTAATATTAAATTAAAGTTATTTATTTTATTAATATTAAAATACTAGGTTAACTTTATCCTAGTGTTAATATAGTACTTACATACTAAAAATATAAAAATCCTGCTAAAATAATTAATTAATAATAATAATAATAGTGCTAGCGCGCTAAGCCTAACCTTATTAAATTATTATAATAACCTTAATTTAGTAACATTATCTTAATTTTTAATAAAAAATATTAATATTATAATAACACCAGCTTATACACCACTATTAATAAATTTTATTAATTAATTTTAAATATAAATTATACTATTTTTACTAGTAACTTAAGCCCTACTTGTTTCGCGCCCTTAAAAGCTTTAAAATAACCTTAATTTATTAAGGTTAGTATTAAATAATATTTAAAATATATGTAAATAAATTTTTAAGGTAAATTACTTTAAGCTATATATATTTAACATAAATACTAATATAATACTAGATGCCTTAATTAATTAAGATTTAGGGATATTAAACTATAAAATACTAGGTTAATTTTTTAATTAACTAAAAGTTTTAATAATAAAGGCCACCTTATATAAAATAAATATAAATATTAATATTTTTAATATAATAATTATTTTATTAACTAAATGCCCTAAACCTTATATTAACTATAGCCTATTAATTAAAGTAACTAAGCGCGCTAATACTAGAGTTATTAAAATATTTAAGGGAATAATTTAATATTTACTTATTAAAAGGTTTTAAATATTAGCCAAGACTAAATTACATGTTAATAATATTAAAATACTAAAATCTTATAAAAAAGCGTGGTAATTTAAGTTTTTTAACTAATAAAAAAAAGCTATATTAGTTTATATTAACATGGTAGTTACTATAAATATATAAAAGCTTATTAAATAGTTAAAAAAGGCTAAGATTATTCCTAGTAAGTAGGTATTTATATTTAAAAGTAATAAAAATAGGTTTATTTTATTATTTAAGGCTTAAATTATTATATATAATAACCGCCAAGTTACTAAATTAAATTATAATAAAAGCTTTTATTTAGTTATAGCTAATATAATAATTAAATATATATTAATAGCTATAATTATTTAAAGGCTTAGCTAGTGCTAATTTAATATTATTAATACTTATTTTAATATAAAAATAATTAATTAAAAGGTTTATATATAACAGCCACGCGGCTATAAAATTAATAATAACCTTATATATAAAATATAAAAAGCCTTGATTAGCCTTTATAATTTTATATACTTATAAAATTAAAAATTTAATTAATTACTACGCGCTAAGGGTTTTAAGCTATTTATTAAAAAATTTTATATATATATTTAAAAGTTACCCTACGCACTAATTATTACTTATATAAATAATAGTATTATTATTAATAAAATAAAGGCTAATATAAATACTATTATTAGCCTTTTATAAAAAATTTATAAACTTAAAGTTAGTAATAAGTTAATTAAATTTTTTAAATTAATAATATCCCGCGATTATAAAAACAGGATAATTTACTTTTTTTAAGTTATATATATAAAATAAATAGCTTAATATTTTAGCCTTACTAAGGCTAGGCTAGTAAAAACACTAATAATAAAGGGGTATATTAAAATTATATAAAAAGTTAATTAATTAAATATTATAAATTTTAATATATTTTTAGTTTTTAACATTTTTAGCGCTTATGCTTTTACTTAATTAATTAAATTTTTTAGCTAGCTTAAAAAAACTTATATTAACCTTATATACCTAGTTTAATTTTTATAATATTAATAAAATTTTTTAATTATTAATAATATAGTAACTGCTAAGCACGTGGTTTATTATATTATAATTAATTAAAATAATTTAGTACTTACTAAGACCTATATAAAAAAATAATTATTTATTTTAATATATTTTATTAAAATTATTTTAATAAAAAGTTTATTAAGGGCTTTATTATATACCTTTATAAGTTTTTTATTATATAAAATTTAAAAAAATAAGTAGTTATAGCGCCTTTATTTATTATAATAAAATTTTTAGTACTTAATAAGGCTATTAAAATAGCCTTATTTATAAAAAAGTTTATTAAGGTACTTAAAGTATAAAATAATAAGTTAATTATAATATACTTTAATAATACTAGCGCTATTATTAATATTACTAGTTAAAAAATTTTAGTTATTATATACTAGTTAGCTAATAAATACTTTTTTATATAAAATATTTATAAATAATATTTTATAAAGTTTTACTATATGCTAGGAAAAAAAACCCTATAAATAAAATAACTAAATTATTAAAAGTAACTAAGTTTACCACCTTTTAAAATATAATAAGCCTTAAAAAAACCCTTTAATTAGTAAATTAAAAGTATAAAAGTTTTATTATTCTTATTTTTAGTAATATTTCCTATTTAAAATATGTATATAGCTTTATAATATAGCCATGCATTACTTAATTAAAAAGTATATTAAATACCTAAAGGGCTAGCGCCTAAAATATACCTATTTTAATTAAAACTAGCGCAGCACGTGATAGTTAAGGTTTTTTTATAACTTACCACTTACTACTTATAAACAATCTAGAGGTTTACTATAAGCAACGCTATTAGCTAGTCATTATTTTTTTATACTTAGCCTAATGGGGCTAGTATTATTATACTTTTTTTTAAAAAAAAATTGTATATAAAAATTATCTTTTAGCTAAATTTACTTATTATTCTATAGTATTATTATTTATCTTGTGATATTTTATCTTTATCTCTATAAGTAGCTCCTCTGGCCTATCCAACACCTGTAGGATAGTACTCGTAATCACTTATTTCTGTTCAGTATGCGCCACTGCACATTACTCTAAACGCAGGTTATCAAACACGGATCAGAGCATATATACTCTTCCTAAGTAGTAAAGTATAGCCCAACCTCTAGGTGGCATCCGCTCCTTGGTAGGTAGACATGGTACCTAGGTGTAGCCAGCACAGCATCGCCCTGCCCTTCTCCACCTGTGCATTTGAAAGCAAATGAATTCTACCCAACCCTTCTATGATTTGTCCTCTATCCCAGCAGTAGGCACTTCTGACAAGTGGAATCTTCTATGACGCCTAAATGGTTGGCCGGAGCTGGAGTGCCAAATATCAGCTTGAATAAACTGCAAGATAGGTAGGTAGTGTATTGTATGTCAACTTGGTAATGCTAAATTGAAATACTCCAAGCCCAATTGTGAACAATCCCAGTAACTACGTACTATGCAGTCAACTGATCTCCCTGCCTACTTGGCAGCTGCAAAAATGACCGAGCTTTGCATGACAGGTGCATACCTCTTGACTGCCACCACACGCAGCCCTGCTCTGTCCAGAATTGAATCCCACTGCAATGCCGTCCGCTCCATGGTCCCGAAAATCGTATACATCTGGAGGTCGAGTCCGGCAGGCCAGCAGTGAGCATCCTTGTCCGGCACCACCACTTCATCAATCGCCACCAGCGATTCCGCCGACATAGCAGGCACAATATTGGCAAGTATCTGCACAGCATGGTCGTCATCCCAGTTGTGCAGAATAGCTCGCAGATAGTAATACTTTGCCCCTGCAAGAAAAGGTCTTAGTAAAACGGAATCTTGTTTAATGTATCTCTCAAGAGACTCACCCTTCACAGGCTGGATATCGAAAAAGCTGTGCTCCATCCACTGGATCCCTTTCATAACTGGAGCACTTTTTATGACTTCTCCAAGGTCCTGAACCACGATTTGGCCGGCTAGCTCTGGGTGCTGGGACAGCACTTCGGCAGCCTGATGCCCAATATTGCCACCAATGTCCACGAAGATGACACTGTGACGCCCACTGCTCACAGCGCTGTGGAAAGGCATCACACTTAGGCCGTTAGTGTCTTTACTAAGCCGCATGGCGGCCTGGAAGCTCTTCAACATATCCGGATCCTGCTTGAGCCAGGGATAGAGCTCAAGCTCCGTGCCAAGGCCCTTTTGGAAGGCACTACGCTGGGGTTTGTTCTGATATCCCGTCTCCTTCAGGAATTCAGGCAGGGCTTGGAAAGCACGGTTGCTGACGGCGTGGACAAACCGCATGGCCTGCTCAATACACGGATCGCCGAAGACCAACGTCTTCTTACTGGCCACGTACTGGTCGGGTCCTGTCTCTCCGACCAGACGGTTAGCGACCAAGTATCGCATGATGCGACTGACGAGCAGCGGATCTGCCATGGTAGATTCCGCAAGCTGTTTGCACGACAAGGGTGTTTCGCTCTCTGTGAGGGACTTGAAGATCCCAAGGTCAGCGCCGATGCAAACCAGCGCCGTCTGTCGACCCTATTTCACGAGCTTCATTAATACGAATAGCGCGAGGAGCCCAAGGGCCGTTGGATCTTGAACTTTGTTGACTTACCGCGTTAACATATCGCAGCACTGTGTCAGAAGGTGTCTCAAGATCCTCGGCCGATTGTTGCAGTGACGAGATCAAACGGTGTCTCGTGGCTTCGTCGGCCGATGGCTGCGAAGAGCTTTTCTCGGCTGCGATGAGGCTTGTCATGCAGCTCCTTACAGAGACCGCGTCCACGTTGCCGTTGCCATCGCCGTTGCAGTGTTCGCCTACTGCACGATGGCCGTTGCCCATGTTAGTTCCATTGGTCTGGGGATGGCCGTTTGGAGTCATCTTCTTGGCTGCTCTCGCTTCGCCGTTAAGGAAGGAAAGCGAATCCCGCGTTGTGTATCTGACCTCGGCTCTCTTCGCTGCGGACAATCCGAGATTACCCTTCTCCAACCGCGGGGCGAGGCCGTCGATGGAGTCGAGAGTGAAGTTGTCAATGTTGAGCGAATCCTCGGGCCGCACCATGCGTCGTCCCTTCAGCGTTTTCAGGATTGCCTGCTCCTCCGGTGTCAGCTGCTTCTCGAGCTCATCGAGAGCCTTGCGGTTGCTCTCATCATAAGCATCTCCATCGTGGCCTAGCGACTTGAGCTTATCCACAAGGGCCTCTTTCTCCTCAAACGAGACATGCGCAAATGCCCTAAAGCAAAACTCGACCGTCTTGGAGATTTCAGCTTGGGTCAGCTTGCCCTTTGCGTCAGCATCTGCTTGCCCCTGAATAACTAGATTGCATGCAGTTAGAATCATCAGGCAGCCTTCATCGTTGAAAGACAACATGTAAATGGACATACTGGGTCTGAACAAATCAAAGGCTCTTTCGAAGCTATCTTCAGCAAAATCACTGATCACGGGTTCGTCTTGAGACCTGATCTGCTTCAGTGCACTGGATACGACCAAAAGAAAGCGTGTATAGCTCTCAGACGTCTTCTTGTCATGCCACGACGCCGCAACATTCTCGTCGCAGTCACCGCGAATGGCCGCGGCAATGGTAGTTGCTGCCGACAAGCCTCCCGAAAGTGCTAGGTGAACCCCAGAAGAGAAGAAGGGGTCGATGAAGGATCCAGCGTCGCCAGCAATGCGCACTCCAGGGAAGGCATAGGTTGAGGCGCTGTATGACCAGTCCGAGGCTGACTTGACCTCCGAGATGAGCTGGGCTTGTGAAAGCAGTTCTTCGATGCCGGGAACAAATTTCAGCGACTCCAGGTAGAAGCCCTTGGAGGAAGGTTCGGCCATTTTCCGCTTCTTCTCAGTAGCCATCTCTTGGTTCTGCACAACACCTACAGAGTGGGTGCCGTCGTGCAGAGGGATAAACCATGCCCATCCACTAGCATCTGTTCAGCCCAGAAAACCCCAGTTAGCATCGTCTCCTTTCAGATGGTATGACGGAAGTCAGGGCTAGGTGAGCTTGTACCTTTGAGTGCCTCGAAATACGGAGCACCCTCTTTGTGTGTGCCAACACCATGGACACCACCACCCCTCCAGTAACCCCAACTGGCCACATTCCTCAATCCCTTGTTGTAGGACCGATCCTTGAGGTACCTGGTGCTGATAAGGCCGGTTCTACCGGACGCATCCACGATATAATCCATCGAAATGGTTCCAGAAGTCCCATCCTTGCGAGTCCAAGTAGCCGATACCGGACGGCCCAAGGGACTCACATTTCCAGACCCGTGGTCCGGCGAGGAAAACTCAATGGATGCCACCTTCGTTTCGTCAAATGCCTTGACGCCACATTCGGCGGCATGCTTGAACAGCAGCTCGTCTGCCTCGGATCTTATCACATTCCAGGCGTAGCCCCCCGGTCCCGAAGCCGCGACGAAATCCGTATCTGAAAGACGAGTATACTGTTAGTAGTGTTCTCCGCCATGGGTGTTGGTAAAGGAGACTTGCAGGTTTCAGGCCTGGACCAGTTGAGACGGAAGGCACCTCCCTTCTGCGCTGAGTGTCAGCAAGCAATGCCCCCAGCCTACCACCGTAGCTCTCTTTGCGGTAAAAGGGTTACGGGCTCTGGTTTCTCACCTTGATATTGAAGCCATGGGCATCCCACTTGTCGTAGGCGTCAATGAACTTGAGAAAGTGTCGCATGGACGGAAGCATGCTTTCACCGATATGGTATCTGATCCAAGTGTAAGGAAAGACTGAAGTCGTCCATTGGTCTCAACATCCTTGAACAACTTACCTAGGGAACCTTTCTGCCTCCAGGAGGACGACGTCGATTCCTTCCCTCGCAAGAGCCGAGGCAGCATACGAGCCAGCTGGCCCTCCACCGACGACCAGCACGGTGCACCTTCCCGGGACGTTGATCATCCTCAACTTGTCAATCGACTCTCGTTTATGCTGGTGTCTATGTGTTGGAATTGACAAACGTGGAACCCCACCTGCAGCCAGAATCAGCCGACAGCAGTCGATGTACTGTTTCTGCAATGAGGTGAAGGGCATAAATAGACTCACAGCCAGCACTCTGGGGCATTCCTGCCTCCGACGTCCGACGCATTACTTATCGGGCATCGCGGTCCGCCTGCAGGTGTTCGGACCCCGGAATTCCTCTCGGGGAGTTTTGTTGACTCACGCACTATTGCTCCCGATCAGCCGCGGACAGTCTCGAGGCGTAAACAGCCCACCTGCATCTCAGCCTGCGCCCATTGTGGGGAACAATCCCATGGTAGTCTTCCAAGTCAAGCAGATTTCCTCTCGCCGTGAGATCTTCGATTTTCTCCACAACTGCCATATCGATACCTTCAATTGCTCTTACTATGGCTGGAGGATTTTACTCGTCGCCCTTCTGGGCTGGCTATCTCGAGACACAGCGAAGCAAGCTGCCTGTGCTCCGAGAAATCGACGATGGCTTGTCCGACTGCGTTGTGCGCTTTCTTGGATACAACCCCGGAAGCATGCAGCTGCAGGGCTCCAACACGTACCTTGTTGGTACTGGGAGCACCCGGATAATCATCGACACTGGAGAGGTAAGACTTTGATCCTGACTATTTGACTATTTGACCCAATTGAGGACCCGTCACTGCGCATCGGTCTTGCCAACAATCTATATCCCATTTGCGGTTCATGACGTTGTAGCTAGGTCTATATCTATTTTGTCCATCTCATACCACTTCCTCATTAACCAATTACCAATAGGGGGCTCCGGAATGGGCACGGAGCGTGACCAGATATCTCGAAGACCACGGCATCTCCATCTCCCATGTCCTTCTCACGCACTGGCACAAGGACCATACCGGCGGGGTAGCCGATCTCCTAGCCCATGATCCCAAGATAGCAGTGTACAAGCACAGGCCCGAGCAGGGCCAGCGGGCGATTGTCAACGGCCAGATCTTCCAAACACTTGGTGCGACTCTAGAGGCAGTCCTGACACCCGGACATACCGTGGACCACATGTGCTTCTTGATGCAAGAAGAGCACGCACTATTCACCGGCGACAACGTGCTAGGCCATGGCTACAGTGTAGCTGAGGATTTGGAAGCCTACACGGCCAGCCTCCGCCTGATGGCAAGCCTCAACTGCGCCCGCGGCTATCCGGGCCACGGAGACCTGATATTTAACCTGCCCCGGACAATTGCAAAATACATCGCGCAGAGAGTATCCAGGGAGAGGAGGATACACGGTGTGCTGGCCCAGCATGCTTATTCGTCTTCTTCATTCCACAATAAGAGCAGCGCGAGCAGTGACAGGAGTGTCAGCGACTCTGGTAATAGTGATGATGATGAAGGTGGCAGTGGGTTGGACAAAGACACAGTGCAGGGCCTATCGACAGCTGACATAGGCTGCCTCATCTACGGAGAAGCCTTCAAAGATAGCGCAGCGTTCGACTCCGCTGTCGGACCTCTGTTGAACCAAGTTTTGTACATGTTGCTGGAGCGAGGCAAGGTTGGTTCAAGAGTTGGTTTAGATAATACTAGATATTGGTTCGCAAAGGCCCAGACGCTTTGAGAAAGCAAAAAGAAATTCCCCTCCTTGCTGTATAAATTAGTGATCTCCTGATGCATGGATACAGCCGCGAGAGTGATGGGGAAATATATACCTCTTCCTGCTTTTTTGATTCTGGGTCCCTTTCCCCGTTCCTGTAGTCCCGAACTATAGTTCCAAGTTTAGTATTTTGCTCAATACACGCAAATTTGCCCTGTCGCAGCCCCGCGGCCGGAAAGTGATTGATGACAGGGTGTTGGGAGGCCGCTCCGTTGGTCGGAGAATGGCGATAAGAAGTCGATGGGGCGGCACAAGGCTTTCTCCTTCGAACAAAGGCTGCCTATTCGTTTAGTCTGAAGGACGCCCCAATGCCTGCGTCGCATAGGTAATCCACCGAGTCGGATTCCGACATACGCTGACGCCCTGCAAGGAGTTCCGAGGCCTGCTTACCATGCCCGCCCCAAGTCACGCATGAGGCAATTGAGGCTGGAAATCGGGGAATTAGTAGGAGTCCAAGACAGTAGCAGTTGTATCCGGTTAGGATAGAGTCCCCTGTGACCATTTATAGTCATACCAAGTTTCTCGGTTGTATGGCATTCGCATCTTACAGGTCGTTCGATCGCCCTCTGACGATACTAGCCGAACAACTTGAATCTCCAACTGGCTCAAGTTAATAGTCTCCTTGGTACAAGATTACTTTCTAGGCTTTGTCTGCGTTGAGAGACCTGCGAGATTAACACACGAAGTGAAAACATCATTATGACTCCTTGTGAATCCCACCCCCCGTCACCAAGTCCCGGCCCTGCGAATGTCAATTTGAACGCCGATATACCTGACGGGTTTATTCTATTCAGTAACGAGCTTCCCAGCGGCGATGTCCAAGACGTGATACGAAGACTGCATAGATATGCCATGTTACCTCGCTATCCGCACCTTGCTCGGTTTCTGCAGAACTGTGCCCTGGTCCTTAGAACGGAGGTCCAGAAACTACCGCGGTCATTGCGAGACTCTGTCCCGCCATTTCACGATGTTGTTACACTCGCCTCTCACTGGGATGACTTCAAGAGCGGCTCCCTAAGTGGTGCTTGGGACGGCGCTTTCCTCTGCATCTATGAGATAGCCATGCTGATTGGGTGAGTCATAATGTCTTGTTGTTCCCAATGACAGCCAATGCTTCTGGATGCTGGCGTATGGCTTGAATTGGAGCTAAAGTGCCGTATCCGAGTCATACAGACACCATGAGACACATGATCTCTCATACCGCCGTCCGAAATGTTTAGTAGGAATCAGCGTCGGCCTATTCTCAGCAGCGGCAGTGGCTGTTGCGGAGTCCCTGGCAGACCTCGTCTCATATGGAGCTGAAAGCCTACGCACCGCTTTTGCATTTTGCGTTCATGTACAGCGCGTTTCCTGGACACTTGAGACCACCGCGACGGAGCAAGCTACGTCGATTAGCTGGGCTACTGTCGTGACAGGACTGCCAGCAGACACCATTCAGGGAGAATTGGTCAATTTCAATGGCTTGACAGATTCAGGAGGGAGTGCGACAACTGCCAGGCCACTGACTGGGGTTAGTATCAGTCACGTTGATAAGAACTCGGTTGGAGTGACAGGCCCCCCCAGCCGCCTGAAGCAACTCTTCCGCCAGTCCGAGGTACTTCGTTCTTCAAGGCACTCGCCGTTGCCTATCTCAGGGGGTCTCTGCCATGCTCCAAATGTGTACGACAGTGACGATGTGCGCGCCATCATTGCCACAGCAGAGGTCTGGTGGAGATGGGGCACCCGTGCCCTGCAGGTGCCATTAATATCGCCATTCACAGGCTCACCATATGTGTGCTCAGATGCATACCGCTTGATAGAAGCCATCTGCACCGAGGCCTTAACCAAGCCGCTGTGTTTCGACAAAGTCGCACAGGGAGTGGTGACCCAACTGAATGGGCCGCCATCATGTCAGATATTGCATTACGGCGCATCCCCTATGTCAGACACCATCATCGCCGCCATCACCAACAAGCTCTCAGCCAGCGGTGCAAAACGTCAGTGTCTGGGTGACTGGGCTGTGGGCGACGCATTCGACCAACTTCAGGATAGCCCGAGTCCACCGCAGACCGCAAAGCTAGCTGTTGTTGGCATGTCGTGCCGTATGCCGGGGGGTGCAGATACCCCTGAGCGATTCTGGGAGCTGCTCGTGAACGGGATTGATACTCACACTACGGTCCCGCCCGACCGTTTTGATCTGGATGCTCACTATGATGGCAGCGGGGAAAAGGAGAATACAGTCGGAACCCGCTTTGGCAACTTCATAGACAACCCAGGCAATTTTGACGCGGGATTCTTCAACATGTCCCCACGCGAGGTAAAATCACGACCAAACCCCCCAGCTGATCTTGTAGACGCTTAACACGCTAACCCCCAAACCCCCACAATAGGCCGAGCAGACAGACCCAATGCAGCGTCTCGCACTTGTTACAGCGTACGAGGCGCTCGAGATGGCCGGCTTCGTTCCCAACCGCACGCCATCCTCTCACGTATCCCGGGTTGGAACGTATTACGGCCAGGCTAGCGACGACTATCGCGAGGTCAACGCAAGCCAGAAGATTGGTACGTACGGCATTCCTGGGACGGAAAGAGGATTCGGTAACGGCCGTGTCAATTACTTCTTTGATTTCCAAGGGCCCAGTTTCAACCTTGACACCGCATGCTCCAGCGGATTGGCTGCAGTCCAGGCAGCTTGCTCAGCGCTGTGGGCTGGTGAGGCCGATACTGTCGTTGCCGGAGGCTTGAACATCATTGTAGCTCTCCCTCAGTCTGAACCGTGCCCGTTTGGATCGTGTCCAGTACTAATGCGAGAATCATATCTAGACAAACCCGGACATCTACTGCATGCTTAGCAAGGGCCACTTCCTGTCCAAGACCGGGCAGTGTAAAGTTTGGGATATTGATGCCGACGGCTACTGCCGTGCGGACGGGGTGGGCTCTGTCGTGATCAAACGACTCGATGATGCCCTGGCTGATAACGACGTTATTCTGGCGTCCATCATAGCTGGTGCAACAAACCATTCAGCAGAGAGTATCTCCATTACCCAACCACATGCCGCGGCCCAAATGGAGAATTATCGCCAGGTGATGAACAAGGCGGGGGTTAACCCTCTGGACGTTAGTTTCGTCGAGCTTCACGGCACAGGAACCCAGGTGGGTGAATCGAATGAATTTCCGTTAATGTCCCCCCGGCCACTGACACTTGCATCTTCCTGTCTCTAGGTCGGGGACGCTGTTGAATCCGAGTCTGTGCTTGACTTCTTCGCACCTCAAGGCCGCCGCTTGCACCCAGATAAACGCCTCCATCTGGGCGGAGTCAAGTCCAACATTGGTCACGGCGAAGCCGCAGCAGGTATTGCCTCACTCGTCAAGGTTCTGTTGATGTACCGCCACAATATGATTCCCCGTCACATCGGCATCAAAACGACCATGAACCCCGTCGTGGCCCAAAACCTTGCCAACCGCAACGCCGGTATAGCGTCCGAGAACCGCCCTTGGCTTCGGACGACGGCTTTCAAGAAGCGTTATTCCGTTGTGAACAGCTTCGGTGCCCACGGCGGCAACACAACGTTACTGCTTGAAGATGCCCCAGTCCAACCCATTGATCCAGACAAGAAGCATTCGCGACAGCCTGCGGCGAGCAGCGAAGTGGTATGCATCTCAGCCAAGAGCAAAGCCTCACTTCGGGCCAATGTCAGGGCTTTGCTAGGCTACCTGGATACTCGTCAAGAGACGGAACTCCGAGACATTGCCTACACAACAAGTGCTCGTCGAATCCACCACCATATCCGCATTGCCACCGCTGTGTCGAGCACTGCACAGCTGCGCAGATTCCTGCAGGCGGCCGCTGACGATGTCGATGCACATGCAAGACATGTGGCAACAGGCACGAAGAAGACTGTGGTCTTTGCGTTCTCCGGCCAAGGCTGCCTGTATCACGGCGCTGCGGCGCGGCTGTTCGAACGAGCCCCCTTGTTCCGCGACCAGGTCGTTCAGCTCGATCGCATCGTTCGGCGCCTGGGTTTCCCGGCGGTCCTAGACACCGTTGCCGGGGACAATTCGAGGCTCGCGTCCGCCGGACATCCGCAACGGGAATCTAGCCCAAGTATCCAGGCAAGCCATGATAGTGGCACAAGTGCAGCTACAATCCCTACGCCACCGACAGTCGAGAGTCCACTGGTCACTCAGCTCGCCCTGGTGGTGATCGAGATTGCCTTGGCGCAGTATTGGGAGCTGCTTGGGATCAAGCCCAGCGTAGTGATTGGCCACAGCCTCGGAGAATATGCTGCGTTGGTCTCGGCTGGCGTCCTGTCTGTGGCAGACGCTCTCTTCCTGGTGGGGAAGCGAGCCTCGCTCATGTTGGCTGCCTGCGAGCCTGGGAGTCATGCCATGTTGTCTGTTCGGGGTGCCTCGGTCGATCGTATAGAGGAATTGTGCCGAGCGCGCGAGAGCGAGTGTTGTTATGAAGTCGCCTGTGTAAACGGGCTGACCGATGTTGTGGTCACCGGGCTGCGAGATGACATGGCCTCTCTCCGCGACATGCTGCATGGTGCAGGACTGAAATGCGTCCTCCTTGATATGCCCTTCGCGTTCCACAGCAGACAAATGTCGCCCATCCTAGAGGACTTTGAGAATGCCGCTCAGCACGTTACATTCAAGATCCCCCAGATCCCCGTCATCTCTCCCCTCCTTGGAGAGTGCGTTTTGGGAAAGGACGTTATCGATGGAAGGTATTTGGCTCGTGCAACACGCGAGCCTGTGGATTTTGTCACTGCCCTCGACGCCGCTAGGTCAGAGGGCGTGGTTGATGACAAGACTGCCTGGATCGATATCGGTCCTCACCCGGTTTGTACCTCCTTCACGAGCAATCATTATGGCCAAGAGGCAACACAAACCTTTGCCTCACACCGCCGTGGTGACGAGACGCTCTCCACATTCACAGCGAGCCTTGCGGCACTACACTGTCTGGGTCTCCCCGTTGCGTGGAATGAGTATTATGATCTCAGGGAGAGTCCAGCTCGCTTGCTTCACCTGGATTCGTATCAATGGAACTGTAAGAATTACTGGATTCCATACGACGGCTCGTGGACACTCGACAAGGCTCATGCGGGACAGACCAGAAGGAATAACAGTCCAGCCGTCGTTAATCATTTCCACACCTCCTCGGTGCAACAAATCATCTCCGAAGAATACAGTGAGTGCATAGGGCAGATCAAGGCGCTCTCCGACCTGCACCACCCCGACATGCGGGGGGCAGCCGATGGACATCAGCTGAATGGGAGAAGTGTTGTGACTGGAGTATGCCATCCCAAGCCTCGTGCTTTCCAGTCTCCTATATTGATTGAGTTGCTAACTGCGCTTTCGCACATGCAGAGCATTTGGGCAGATATCGCCCTGACGGTTGGGGAGTATCTGTACAAAAAAATGGTACCAGACGGCAAGGAATTGCATATGGATGTGAAAGACATGAAAGTTTTCGAAGCCCAGGTGCTGCACCCAGGGGCTTCCCGAGCATCGACCCCCGAACAATTCATCCAAATCGAGGGGGTCTGCGATCTGTCGCGAAACCAAACAGCAATACGTCTATACGCAGCAAACAAGGACGGAACTCGTAATACCGACAAGGCGTTTGCCACAGCAACGGTCTGCTATGAAGAGGTCCAGGACTGGCAAGAACACTGGCACATGGCTTCACATCTGGTTGCTGCGCGAGCCAACTCGCTCTGGGAGATGGCTGCAGGCGGCACCAACAGTGTAAGCCACTTTTCCCAGAGCATCGCGTACCAGATCTTCGCAAACGTAGTTGACTACGGCGCGCGATACCGCGGGATGCAGCGCGTCGCACTCTGCGAGGACACCCTGGAAGCAACAGCCGACATCGTCCTCGACAATGACCGGCATGGCACCTGGCACACGCCCCCCCACTGGATTGACAGTGCGTTCCAGCTGGCCGGTTTCGTCATGAACGCTTTTGGTGTTCAGGGCGACGGCAACACCGCTGGATCGGCTCGCGACTTCTTCTACATCACGCCGGGATGGCGCCATTTGCGGCTGCTGGAGCGTCTGGAGCCTGGCCCTGATGCCACATACCGCAGCTTTGTCCGGATGCTCCCAACCAGCGGAGAGCCCGGTGCATATGTGGGGGACATCTATCTGCACCGCGGGCAGACTCTCGTCGGGATATGCGCAGGCATCAAGTTCAAAGCTGTTCCCCGCGCTCTGCTGCCGGTCATGTTCCCGCGGATTCAGGCTAACAGGAAGCGAAGCCAACCTGCTGAGAATCTTTCAGCCAAAGGGAAAGGCAGTAGCGAGTACTGTCGAACAGAGCCCCCTGCACCCCCGGCCGCTGATTTCCCAAAGCCCGAGAGGTTGACGGCGTCCGTCGTTGAACTAGCCACCTTGCAAAGCCAATCCCAGGTCCGTGGCATTGACATCTCGCAGAAGACGCAATCTTCAGCACCGGTGGCGGCAGCCACACAGCAACCCCGACATGTAGAGCGTAGACAAGATGCAATTCAAAGCCATAGTCCGCAGGCGGCCGCGTGCCTTGCGCTAATTTCGGACGAAACAGGGTTGGATCTGGAGGATTTGACCGGCCAGGCTGCATTTGCTGATTTAGGTGTGGACTCTTTGATGTCGCTGGCGCTGTCGGCCAAGATACGCGCAGAACTAGGGATTGATGTTCAGGCGTCCATTTTCCTGGAATATCCCACTGTGCAGGAGTTGGTGACGTGGCTGAGCAGGTGAAAAGACTCGCCCAAAGTCAAAGGCGTTTTGAATAGGTGACATAGCCATGGACACGTTAGGCCCACCAGCGAATGTAAAAACGTGGATGATGTATGTAGCGGGAGAGTAAAGGCCTATACACCTTTATTGTGTGCTTAGCGAAACCCTACTATGTTTGCGCCGAGTAAAAAGGCGACTGTCCTCAATAGCTCTACCACGCAAGGTCTCCCGGGAAGCCCTGGGCATGGCGTACTATGGCAAGATTCATGTGTAGTTTAGCTCATCACGGCTCTGCCTCCGAGACCTACGCTTCTAATCCAGCCATCTGGTTATTCAAGCATCTATTTTGTCTCATTCATTAGGCTTCAATCTTGTAAACGACGAGGAACAAACATCAAGGAGCATCAAAACGGCAAGAGGATCGAACAGGAGGAACGAGGGTCGAAACAGAAAAGAGGAGCAAAATGGAGAGGGGATTGAAACAGCAAGGGGGATAGAAAGGGGAAAGAAGATCAAAACGGTTGAAGAAGCCGATTCTGTGAGGTTACAGTTATCCCAAACAGGCTATATTTCCTAGTCGACGCCACGTTGATTCATAGGTTCGGCGCCGGCGCTTTTCCCGTACACATCACTTGTCTGAGATGGGCGGCCCCGATGTCCCCAACTCAGTGCCTGGCAGGTCCAGTGTAGAAGTCAGCCCCTGTAACTGCTTTTTGAGAAATGCTATGATTCTGGTCCGCACACCACTCAGCGCCGTGTCGGTTCTCGGCTCGTTGACTGCCCCGGCTGCGGATTGTCCTTTGTGGCCAGCAATATCTCCAACGACAACCTGGAGTTCCCGAAGCATTCCCAGAACGACGTGACGGATGAGGACCGTCTGCACCTCCTCGCCCAACCGGTGATTGCCTATAAAGAAATCTGGCCTTTGAGCGTCGGCTCTGCTGCCCTCGTCGGTGGATGAAACGGTACTTTCCATGGTCGAGCTCCGGCGCGGACTGTGACTGCGACTGTAGATATCGACAACGTGCCAATGCCAAGATGTAATTCCAGAACAGATGACTGTGATAAGCAGAAGCACCTGCGGGCTTTTGTGGCACGAACAATTCAGCATGGATTGGACCGCCCGCAGGGCGGACTGGTTCATCGCCAATATAGCGTCCGCTGCAAGCGGCAGTTGAGGCTGCCGACCACCTCCCTCACTTGTGCCCATTCGCATAATGCAGGAGTTAGCGCCTGTATGCATGGAGCTGAGGACCTCAGTGGCCAGACGGATGCAGCACCCCTGTGAGTTTTGGAGTTGGTGATCATCTCGGGGACAAACGAGTTCGGCTTGGGGGATTGGTGAGACGCTCGAATCTGCCGTGATCACGCTCGGAGCCGAGTTGTCAAGTAGATTGTCTGTGCACGAGGTATCCGTTTGCCACTTGAACGACGGTTCTCCGCTCTCTAGATTGTGAAAGTCAAAGGGGTTACTATGAAGCTGCGGGATCCCTAGGAGGTCGTGAACCGATAGGAGAGGGCTTGCGGCGTCCAGAAAAGAATCTGGTGGAGGAAGATCTCCTGCATATTGAACTTCTGTTTCAGCTGTCGCTTGCATCGCGTGAGGGGTGCTTCGGCGGTAGGCTTGCACTCGGTATTGTGGCTGGGTATGGCCTTGACCTTGGGGTGGAGAGATGGTTGATCTGTGATTGTATTACAGTAATCCATGGGGTCATATTTAAACTGTCCGAGTTCAGACTCTAGCATGGCAGCGATCCATCCATCCATCTTTGAACTATCTGCACAGTGCACAGCAAATTGTCTGGTTGGATTCTCGCCAGATGTTTGTCACACTGTATTAGTCCAGGCCAACATTCCTCTCTAGGTCATAGCTCGCTATGCGTGTGATTGATGTGTATTTATAGAGTGACCAGAGCAGGGATACCCTAGATCCTTTTCCTTGTCATGGACTTTAGGCGAGTTACTATATACGGGCTGGGGCTGAAAACCAAACGATCTGTTGTTGTATCTATAGCGGGCTGGACATGTGAAACTACTCCGGTTCGCCGTACAGATACAATCGTCCAACCTCGTGTTCAACTCTCTCCTGGTTGACTATTGCTTTAGCGCGCCGACCCGGTCATACGAGGTCCATAGCACGCCCCTGCGGCAACTTGGGACCAAGTGAGGTTTTGGATTGAAGTTTAAGGATGCCGCCTCTCTAGACACTAGTTGGGGTCCAGTGATCAGTATAGGCCCAGCAACAGGGGCACTGGCTTGGTATACCAATTGCCCCCCCTCCACGAGGCTGGCGCCAACGCGTTACGGTACGCGATCAATCCCGGCGCTAAGTAGAGGCAACAAACAGCAGATAGGATCTGCAGCGCCCATTCGCTACTCGGGTGACAGCCATGCATCGAATGCATGTGGAATGAGCGCTTAAAGGGCTGGGCGCCGTCTCTAGATTAAGTTGCGGCCATCCCCGCTGTGATAGATCAGGGCTGTTGCTCTAGTGATCTGCCAGCCGACCAGCCACATTGCTGCCCCGTCGCCCTCCTGGATGCATTGGAACATTGTCCTCTATTTCGTAGCCAATAAAGGCTAGCCCCGTGGCGGCTCTATGTGCAATCCGCTCGCTCGCATGCATTGCAGTACGCCATGAACACGAGGTTACGTCAAGCATTGTCCATCATGCAAACCATGCTGGGCGTGGGAACATCCCCGCTGTAAGCATCCTGCTATAAAATATGTGAGCACCCAAGACAGCGGTAATGCTTTCCGGCGCGTGCTGCTTGTTGCCCTGGCGCTCATCCACGCCAGCCGGAATCCCTCCACACGGTATTAACAGGTGGAAACGTCACCTCGTCCGATCTTCCGCGGGAAACAGAGACATTGCTTTGGCCCCCGCCAACTGGGTTGAGGGGGCGGAGTCATGCATGCAAGAAGTGTTCACTGATTGCACCATGCACCATGCAGGCGCTAAAGCGTGGTATTTCAAATCAGATCGGACGCCAGGCACTTTTGGGGCTGACAGGGCGTCCCGTGGGGGCTGACGGGTCTCCCGGCGCTCGTGAAACCAGGGGCATACATACGTAGGTCCTTGATCCGATATGCCCCAGCGACTTGCCCAGTTACTCTGGAATCTAGGCACAGTGCATTGTTACGCCCTGTCTGTTTGAGAGCGTTCGATCGAGGACCCTGTCGGAAAACTGCCATAAGATTCCCGGAACTGGCTTGATATAGCGGGCCTGGACAGTGCGGTCACACATTAGCAACAAAATATCGCTCGAGCTAGATGGAACGCCAGAAGATACGGACACTAGCACGAAAGCTGAAGGACTCCTGTGATGGCTGTTCCGCGTCCAAGCTGCGATGCGACAAGCAAAAGCCGACGTGCACCCGTTGCGCAACCCTAAACCGCCCGTGCAGGTACAGCCCAGCTCGTCGGGGCGGACGACCGAGGAGCGAAAGCGAGAGTCAGAGCCTGGGCCAGAGTGAGGGCCAGAGCCAGAATCAGAGCCTCCGGCTACGTTCTGCGGCGCCAGGGGCAAATAGTAGCAACGGCGTCTTCGCGGAACCTACTAGATTCCACGGCCGGACCAACACCGCGGAGAGCTGCGACAATGGCTGGCTTTCCAACACACATACGATAAGCCATCACCGGAATTGCCAGCCACATACACAAGATACTGGAACCTGGTCGTCGCCGGGTAACAAGACGATGACCACGAGGCTTGCCTCGGATGCCGCCGAGACCGACTGCACCAAGGTTGCTCTGTCGATTGTTCAGCAGCTGGAAATGAGCAAGGGGCGGCGCGCGCCGGCGACTGCTCCCACATGTACGGACAGCGGCGGCGGCTTGACGGCTACAGAGGCGTGCCAGCGATTGCTGACCATCCTCGTGTGTCCCTGTTCAGAGCAGGTGGAGGTGGCGCTTCTGGTAGCGTCAGGGTGCATTTCGCTGATGGACATGGTGCATGGCTCTGCTGGCCTTGATGACGAGGGCCCAGTGAGCAACGCGTCGTCTATAGGGGCCGATGGCATGCCCATCAGCCATGGGCTCGGCTCGTGTCAACAAGATACACCCGTGTGGTCGCGACCGCAGTCACCCCAATCCCCACGCAGCTTTGCCAACGACGGCCAGAGTCAGGTTGGGGATTTATCCAAGGTTGCCAAGCTGGTGTTTCAGTTCACGGAAAAGTACTGCCAGGATACGACGGAAGCGCTGGGGGCGCGCTGGACGCACACAGCCTGGGTTGTTGGGCCGGTGGCGGCGATGCTTCGGTGCAGGTTGCAAACTGTCACACATGGAGTGGCAAGACGGCTGGTGTTTTGAGGTTGGTCTGAGGTTGGCTTCGATTGGCTTTTTGGGTCTTGTTGTATCTAAGGTTATCGAGCGATCATACATAGTGCATAGCAAGGAAGTGAATTCCGGGTCTCGATCCAGGACAGTATATAATAGACCTTGAAGACCCCGTTGGAGTTAGAAGACGAGAATCATTACTCTTTAATCTCTCCTCACTATAATGTCCAAATGCCAGCACTTCACCGCGGGAGTCAATCATGTACTTATTCCGTGGCTGGATCTACGGCTGGTCAGAAGATGTGGGCCCATAGTGAAGAGAACTCAGTAGATGTAGACTAGGTGAGCGATTAAACTCGCGGACTTGGTTGAAGAACAGAGAGATAATAGATACACGTGTACGTCTCAGGTATTCCCCCAGAGTAGAATATCGGCGATCCCTGGCTGAGTTCTAAGCCAAGTTCGTAACATGTTCAGTCAAAACGCGCGTGGACCGTGTCTTCAGCCTTGAGTGGCGGCGTCCTCTTCCTTCCTAGGCACCCAATCCCAGCTACGGTACCTACTGGGTGCCTGGCAGAGGCTGACCCGCCATAAATCGGGGGAATCCTTGGAAGCCAATCCAAAGCTCTCCAGTTCCTGGCGGGCCACCGACAATTTCCCGCTTGCGACCCTTGAGCTCATCCACGTCCCAGGCAGAGAAGACAAGCTTGTTTGTAAGAAACTCGGCTTCCGGGGAGGCGATCCAAACCAGGAAATCGGCAGGAAGAGAGACTGCAGAGGGAAAGAAAGAAAGGACGATTTGTTAGTTACTTTGATACAACTCAAGGGACAGCAGCGTTGCTATAGGAGCACGACTTACTATCGTCGTAGGCATATGGCAATCGGATTGTCTCCGCCAGCTTGGCCGACATGGCTGTTTCAAGCATTCCCGGATGCACATTGTGAAGACGTACTTGCGGGTTCTCGGCGGCAAAGGCCTGCAAGAGTTTAACCGCGGCCATCTTGCTGCTCACGTAGGCGCCCATGCCTGGGAACGGGGGGAACAAGATACCGGCCGTGGTAAGGTTGATAAAGGTGACCGGCTTGTCCTCGGTGGCGCTGGCTGTCCCTGTTTTGTTTGCTAGAACAACCGCCTGTGCCGCCACCAGTGTGCCGACCACGGTAGTCTTGTAGCCATCCAGAAAGGTGGCCGGATCAGCCTGCAGAAGGGACACAACCGGCGCGAGGGCGCCGGCACAATGAACAAGGATGTCAATGCCGCCAAACTCTGCAGCCACCTTGTCCATGGCACTGCGGACACTGGAAGGATCGCACAGTTCAGCCTCGTGGGTCTGAACTGTCAGCTCCCGATTTGTGAAACTGGCGCGGATAACACTGGCTACTTGCGCCAGGGCGTCGGTGCGTCGTCCGAGGAGAATAAGAGCTCGGGGACCCGATGCAGCAAAAGAGGAGGCTGTGGCCTGGCCGATCCCACCAGATGCGCCGGTAATTAGGACAACCTTGCCCGCGGTGGAAAGGCCAGGCTGGGTGGGATTGATGGCGGGGTAGGTGGCACAGTGGGTGAGCTTGGTATACGAGGGCGGGGTTGCTGCCATTGTGTGCGTGGCTTGGTTGCAGTGTCTGGAGTGAGTGTTGGAGTGTGAGAGTGTGAATAGTCAACGGACAAACGCCTGTGAACGCAGGGGCAGGGGAGGTATTCATATTCTGGCCCCAATGATCGCCGCACCTTTCTTTGTTCCTGTGTGCCCAAGCCCTGCACCCTGCTAGTACAAAAGGTGTGCGATTCCTATTGGTCTTGTCATCGGCACCAGCATCGGCATCGGGCATATCGGAGACTCGGAGTCCGTACTTTCAGTACGGTGGATACATCAAGGACAATCCCACGGGGCTGGCCTAGAATAGGTAATGCACTCTGGAGATCTCCATCGGATCCAATCCAGAACAACCGCCCCGGATCCAATGGTCCTAACTTGTCGGAGCCCGAGAATCCCTGCCCCGACCGAGAAGCTTTGCTTGTAGAAGCGTTTTGCACTTTTGCGCTTACTCTCCGGCTAGCTGTGACATGCATTTGGTGTGATTTGTTGAGAACCGCCTTGATCAATCTGACAGCAGCGCCCTGTCTACAGGTCTTGGGCGCAGCTGCACATGTATATGAAGACCCCTCGCGACGGTTGGGGGTCGGGTCACCTGTGCAAACGGCAATCAACTCTTCCATCTGTCCACCGCTGCCATGTATTGGTCTATATTGCATTTCCTGGCTGTAGCGCTGCCAGCGGCTGCTCTAGTTGCACATGACCCATGCAGGCTCGTCGAGTCCAATATTCCAGGGCGCATCTCCTACCCCGGTAGTGCAACATACAATTCGTCCATCTCATCCTACTACGACGACCAGGAGCGCGCCCTGAGTCCCGGTTGTATCTTTAGACCTACCACTACGTCTGAAGTATCCCAGTTCGTCGGGTTAATGACTTCGGACCAACGCAAGCCCAAGTTCGCCGTGCGGGGTGGCGGACACACGTTGTGGACGGGCGCGGCAAACATTGCGGGCGGCATCACCGTCGACATGCGCCTCATGAACGAGCTGGAGTTGAGCGGAGATAAGAAGACTGCCCGCATTGGAGGGGGCGCTGTATGGGACGATGTTTACCCGCAGCTCGTGCCGCATGCGCTGACGGTGATGGGAGGCAGGATCCCCGGGATCGGAGTTGGCGGGTTCGCCTCTGGCGGTCAGTCCTCGCACCTGCGAGCTATGCTGGATGATGATGATGTCGATAGCTGACTTTCCATCAGGAGGGATCACGTTTTCGTCCCGCGAGCACGGGTTCAGCTGTGACAACATCCACGGTTACGAGGTCGTTCTCGCCAGTGGTCAAGTCGTCTACGCCAACCAAAGCTCCCACCCTGACCTCTGGCTTGCGCTGAAAGGTGGCTCAAACAACTTCGGCATCATTACTCGGTTCGATGTAGCGACCATTCCGCAGGGCAGAATGTGGTACAGCCATCTTCACTATAACTATACAGACTCCTCGTTGCGGGCTCACGCCGAAGCCTTTAGCGACTTTATGAAGCCGGAAAACCACGACAGCGCAGCCATGATGGGAGTGTTTCTTGACTATATCGGCGGTAACCTGCTTCTGCATGACGCCATGTGGTACACAAAGGAGGTAGAGAAACCGGCCGTCTACGACGCCTTCACCGCGATTCCGAACTCGGGGGGCGTGGCGGAGCTCAGCACCGTCGACAACGTCGTGGACAAATTCGGAGCGGATATCCCATCTCATGTGGACCGGTACGTAACCATCCCAGGCGCCATTTTATGCTGCACCGATCGATCTAAACTGCTTCTCCAGCGCGTTCCAACTCACCTTTTCGTTCCACAACCCGGACCCGACTATCTACATGGAACTCTTCAAGGTCTGGGAGAGCGGCTTGAGCAAGATGGCGAATGTCGAAGGCCTTTTCGTCGAGTTTCTAACCCAGCCTCACCCCGTTACCAACGGGGTCAATATGTTCGGCCTGACGCCTGGAAAGACCGACGATGTCATGGTCGACATGACTGCCACCTATGCAAACAAGGCAGACGACTCGCTGGTCCGGTCCGTCATCACGGACATTGTGGACGAGCAACGCGCACTCTTGAAGCGAACTGGACATCTGCTCGACTTTATCTACCTTAATTACGCCGACATCTCACAGGAGGTGCTCCAGAGCTGGGGCCCGGATAACGTTGCCAAGCTCAAGGCCGTCAGTGAGAGATACGACCCCGAGGGCGTCTTTCAGAAACAGGTTCCTGGTGGATTTAAGATCCCAATGTAGATCTATTCTAGTTGATCGTAGCTGCGCTCTTTGATAGCTAGGAGAGGGTGGGTGTGCTGTATCGCGCGGGTGCTGGGTGGGAAGGTTAATTAAGCAGTAAGGGCATAAATAACTTATTGTTTACAAGCTAGATTGGTCTATACTTTACGAGGTGAAGGAGGTTCCATGAAGAGAGCCCTGGGCAGTGACGAGTGCGCCGATCCATCCCATATACCTAGGCGTTCCTCTAGTAAGGTTGTCTCTTTGACTTGTCTCGACAAGAACTATTTGAATCATTGGATACCCGGGCTGCCCAGGAAAACTGCAAATACCAAGTTGCCATGAAGGCGATGCACACTGGTCGAATCAGAATAACGACACCATTGTACCCAAGCACGTTCAACCGATGAAGCGCTGATTATGCGTTTCTCCAGACCTATGCGTCCCTCAGGATATCCCAAGGCTTGTTCGACATTAGGGTTATGAAGGGGACGCAGCTATAGTGGGCATTTTGGGCCGCTTTACCAGCTCGGGGTCGGGGTCGGGGCCGGGGGCTGGGACTACCATAGGTACCGGAAAAGGATAATGTCTCCAGGTTAAATCCCATACTTCCCTACTCATCAGCAGCCCGGCTTAGCATTTCGAGTATAACTACAGTACACACTTTTCTGTATAGGTGGTGCTTGTCCCTTGCACAGGTCAGGCTAAGCGTACCATATGTCGAGCGTTAGGGCTTTTCTACCTACAGTCTACTCTGCTTACCCTACTGCGTTCGCCCGTCACTTACAACGCTGCGGCGTTTTGTTACAGCACATCTACAAGTCCTTCACCCCGTCCTCGGGTCCAAGCCTACAATGGCACATCCAGGCGGACCATGAGACAATATGTATAATCAAACTGAGATAGCACGTGTATAACATCCCAGGGTATATAACGAGGCAAAACAAAACACAACAAAACATAATGCAGTCCTTGAAACAAGAGAAGGAAAGAAAAATATAACACCGCGCTATGACCGTGTACTCATATCCGCAATGCCAACATAACCTTAATCAGATACCGTAACCCAGCACTTTTCCATCCAATCCCAGCCACAAAAAACAAGACTTATTCATTCTCCTTAACCGCCCTCTCCAAATCCGGGATCTTCCTCCTCCCCATGCCCATCCGCGCCCTCGTATTCCGACTCTTCATCAGAAACGCCCTCCTCCGCCGTCGAGGCGGATAATTCACCGGACTCTCCCCGCCCGTAAAGATAATCAGATCATACATCAGGCCCCCGAACAGCCCGCCCGCAATATCCGCAACCCAAGGCCCCCAAATCCACCAGACATGGTACTCGGAGAATAACGTGCCGCCCCAGCCAGCCATAGCAACAACAACGCGCGCGCCGAAGTCCCGGGCGGGGTTGAAACACCCGCCCGTTGTGAACCCCAATGCCAGGATGAGCACCGTGACGAGGATGCCGATGATAAACGCCTGCATTCCCGCGCCAGGCGGCGCATTGCTATCATCGCCCAGCGCCATGATCGCACCGATGAGGATAGCCGAGCCGACGAATTCAACGAAGAACGCGGCGACCGGGTGCACGAAGGACTTTGGCGTCACGACCATGGCTTGCTTTGCGTCGGTCAGGACCTGCGGGACGCCGTTGGAGGCCGCCAGTTGCACGATTGCGTCGTGGTACAGCGCGTATGCGATCCCGCTGGCGGTGATGGCGCCGAGGACCTGCGCGGCTGTGTATGTTGCGCACCGGCGCGCCGGGAACCCGCGCCATACCCACATGGAGATACTAATGGCCGGGTTCATGTGTCCTCCGGAGATTCCTCCGGAGATGTAGATTGCGATCATGAACCCGAAGCCCCAGGCTGGTGCTAGGGAGCCGAAGGAGCCTGCTTCGCTGGCGGATGTATACGTCGACAGTCCCGCGCAGAGACCGAGTGTCATGGCGATCGTCATCCCCAGCCACTCGGCCAGTTCCTGACGAATATAGTGCCGCGCCTTGCCCCAGCGGTTGAAGAACTCGCGGTTGTCTTTGGTGCGCTGGCGGGCTTCGCGCCGGCCCTGTTCGTCTGCGTTGTCTGCTGGTCGGGCGGCGGGGGGTTCGGCGGAGGCGGGCTCGCGGCTGCCGGGGGCGTTGACGTTCATGGCGTTTTCGTCGCCGACTTGCTTTCCGCGGTTGTTTTTGTTTTCGTTCTTGTTTTGGCTTTTGCTTTTGCTGGACTTGCGGCTTGTCAGGCGGTTTATGGCGCTGCAGCTGCAGGTCGGGGTGGATTGGCCGGAGGGGCTGTTGTCATTGTCGTTTTTCTCTCGCGTTCCGCTGCGCACGACGTGGGGGAGGGGCTGGGCGAGACTCCAGGTGGGCTCGTCTTTCTTCTCCCCGTAGTGCGGGTTGTGCTCGTAGTAGTCGGGCGAGACGTACGTGCCGGATGGGGTCCCGCCGTCGGGGGGCTGGCTCTGCTGCGTGTTTTGCTTCTCCATGTCTTTGTCTTTTCCATCCTGGGACTGTCCCTGGTCGTCCTTCTCCTTCTTCCCCCCTCTGTTCCTTACGACATGCGGTAGCGGCTGCGTGAGACTCCACACGGGTTTATCTTCCTTCTGTCCGTACTGCGGGTTCTGCTCGCGGTACTCGGGCGAGACGTACGTCGAGTTCGAGGTTTGCGTGCGTTGAGCGCTATTCTGTGTCTGCGTGTTGGTTTTGGTGTTGGTGCCCTGATCGAGGCCGTTGGCCATGTACGAGTCGGTCTGTGTGGCGCACGTGTTCTGGCTGAGGGTGCGGTCGGAGCTGTGGTCTGAGAAGCGGTTGTCGCCGTTGCCCTGTCCTTGGGCTTCACTCTGGCCGTGGCCGTGTAAGACACGGAAGGGTGGGCGTGAAGTGTTGTTGTGGTTGTCTCCATCGCCAGACGAGGAGGTGTTTTGCCGCGACATTGGTGTGGTAAGTACGCTCGCACTCAAATCAATGAATTCAACACAAAGCGACCTTCCCTGGGGCAGTCTGGTTTTTATCCCAGGCCTGTCTCGTTCCTTGGGTTGTGGTTCTGTTGGTGGAGCCTCGCCTGCCATTACATCACCGTCAGGTCACCAGTCGAGCCCCAGGTAAAATCTCAATCCCCTGGCAATGCAGGCGATTCCCACGGGATAAGACTTCCCGCTACTCTACGCGCAGGACGAACTATGATCTGGGTGACTTCATCATTGCTGGTGTGGCGAGGCCAGCCGATATCTAGCTGCCATGGGTGAAGTTTGTATGGACGGAGGATTCCCGATCATACTGCCTACAGACCTCGAGAGCCAGAAATGTAAGGGCCAGGCCGGGGTTGCGGCCCGCCGCCCGACTGAATCTGAGAGAAAGGTCAAGTTCGCACCTTCCTCACCCATCCTAGCGTCAGCGGCACCAAGATTCGTCTTGCCCATCAACGTCAAAGCCGGATTAAGTTTGCAGAGTATGACAGCATGTCCCCACAACCCGGTAGGAACGACTCACCTGGCCTGCTGGCATCGGCCCCGATTGGCGGGCCCCGATTCCCCCCTGTGGGTCATGTCAGGCAAGCTCGCGCGGCGTTCGGCATGCCGGGTGGCTTGCCGTCCATTGTTCAGCAGCATGATCTGGTTGAGTTTTCCGCTGCGTCATTATTTGTTCGATGTTGGGAAGCTTAGGTTTTATGATGACTTAGCGTTACTATGAAAATCTGGAGAGATGGGGTTCGTGGCTTTCGTTCCATTCCTCGCCACTCGTGAGTCAACATACATTCGGAATGTCGATGGACTTGACCCGGCCACTGACATATGTGATCGGTGCATATGATAGACCTCCTAGACTGTGCCCTGCAATACTTGCGTTGTCGGTGTTAGGCACGCCAACATCAACATCAATAAACTTTAAGTTTATCAATATCGGACTGCTGGACCATGGTGCTCGCATTTGGAGCATAATAAACAGCCACCTGCACTTTGTATAATTTTGACGCTACCCCGGGCTACTGTCTTTACATGCATTTGTTACAACTCGCGAATTCAAAGTACCCTGTTCCCCAGGCACCTGCATGGATGGTCCACGTGCTTCTTTTGTCCATGCATGGTATGCGAAAAATACCTTTAGGCTTCTGAATATGCCCAGGAGAATCGCTAAACTATGGCAGCACCATCTCGCCTGATCAGGATCATGATCACTATGGGAGTTGAAGGAAAACTCGGTTGTCACTGGGTTGTCTTTCCCTTGTCAGGTACCTACCTACTGTACGACACCCTCAACTGCATTCCCAGGAATCTCGAATCCATGAATGATTTGTTAGGAAATCTTCATGGGATGTGGTGGTTATTGTATTTCTCACTCCAACTATTTTCCGTCTCCGTCTAGATCTCGGTCGAGGCTGGCCTTGTTTGGTAGGTATTTTTCTCTAGTGTGTCCCGCAAGTAAGATATATAACTTCTACCTGCACTCCTTGACCAAATCACTTACTACATACATCATCTGGTACGGCCTACTTCAGCTGTTCCATTTCCACGTGTGCAAAGGCGAGCGGAGACCCTACAGGACGACTACGACTACTATCAAGTGCGAATGATTACGATAAGGAAGACGAAGATATCTCTTAAGAAAAGACTGTATTTTTCTTAATCTATACTCAACAGCGCATAGAAGCAAACAAGAAATAACACCATTAACAATAATCAAGTACCTGAACGACAGACCTATACAAAAGACATCCAGATAAAACTGAATCACTCACAACTTCATCGGATCAGCATGCCACCTCAACCAAAACGTCGACGGACACTCCCCCTGGCGGGGCAAAAGACACTCCCACCCCTCACCCTTCAGCCCCTCACTAACCCCCGAGAAAGTATTAGCAACAACATCCCCATCCTCACCAGGAAACTCAATAAGGATGGAGACGTATATCTTACTATCCCTAGTGACCACGTCCTCAAAGCTATTGAATGCCAGGACGGGCATGCGCTGGCCAAAGACATCGAGCAGCGTCTTTTCAACGGCGTTGGCCACGCGGACGGCGTAGTCGAAGGGGATGGAGTGTTCGGGGAAGGAGGCGCGGAAGGCGACGGGGTAGGTCTTTGCTGGCATGGGGTTAATAGAAACGCCTGGACGCGTGGAGAGGATGGCTTGCAGGGTGCGCACGCAGGTGGGGCACATGGTTGTTAGGGTTGTGCAGGAAGACATCTTGGTGGAGGATATTTTGGTGGATGGTGTGTTTATCACGTTGAAGCGTATAGGGGGATAAGTCTAGTGGACTTCAGGGTTGCTGTCGATGCAGAGGACACTGGTGTGGACTGGTAGGGGAATGAGATATGACACTGGGTTGAGGGGGACTATATACCCAGCACGTTACAAAGGCTGGGATGGAAGGAAGAAAGCAAATCATTGTAGTTACTTCGCCAAGAGTCTGATTCAATGCCCGTTGTCAGAGATATTGCTTTATCCTTTGCATCGCCATCTTTCAACCGTTGTTTGGCTTGCCTTTGTGCCTTTGTTGCGTGTTTTCTTTGTTGATAGATAAGGCTGGGACTCAAGAAGGGCTCTTGGACATGGAGTACAGAGTGCGCTGAGCCTAGCGCTAATTCTACCGAGGACATGGTAAGCAATATAGCAGGGTTGAGAAACAGCTGCTGTTCAATAGGTTGCCACCAGCATGGAGGAAAGGATTGTGGTATTCCAGCTCCATAGGAAGAGGATCGAAGGATGTCAAATCCTTTATCAGGGAGAATGGACGTTGTGACACTCAACAAAGAATCGCTCAATCAAGACAAAGGCAGAATGAACACTGTGCGTGGTGGTAGACTGGTCAAAGCTATTTCAACAAAGACATAGTGTTATCATAGTGCTCACGTCTGGGTTCACATACTCCTTTATAGTGGACATATCCCTATAAAAGGCCATGCCAACCACAAACACTGACATCTTCCCATAGTTGACATCCAACCATCCATGACATCCAGTCTACCATTAGTGTAGACCGAACCAACCCCAAACACCAACATCACCATCACCCACCACCCACAAACAACATCAAGATGTCCACCTACACCCCAACCCCACGCTACTACGCCTCCAAGTTCCACGAATCCCTCCCAGAAGCCCAAACGCACCCCGTTCCCCCCACCTGCTCCCTCCCCTGCACCGACTTCCGCAGCATGTGCTCGCACTGCTGGACGCTCTTCGAAACAGGCAAGCAGGCCGCGCCGCTCTCGCACGCCTCCAGCCCCAGCGCACCCTGCACAGCGCTCGGCCACATGTGCGACTACTGCTGGGCCGCGTACGAGACGGCCGGGCTCGAAGGCAACGTGGCCATACACGCCGACGACAACTGTCTCACGCCGCTAAGCATGTGCGACCACTGCCGGCGGGCCTTCAACGCGCTTACGCCTGTTATTCCGCCGGAAAGCCTCCTCGCGAGGCCGGGGGTCTACCCCGTGAAATTCTGGAAGAGGTTTGCGGAGGGTGTAGTCGATCAGGGGTTTGGCGCGTATATCGCAACGGCTCTTGCGGAGCGACTGGGGAAGCTGTTCTGTGCGCCTGTTAGTGTGCGTGCGTTTACGACGACGCCGCCGGGTAAGGAGAGTCCGAATCTGGCGAGTGTGCTTGTTGAGTTTCCGCATGTTGTTGATGTTAATGAGCAGTTGGTGAATGTCATGTTCCAGGGTTTGCCTGGGGAGGGACTGGGTGAGGGGTCGAAGTGGACTAGTCGGATTCCGAGGCAGGAGCAGTGTCTGTGTCACTTTCGGCTGAGGTTCTTTCGGGCTATGGTGGAGTATAATCCTGATAAGACGTGGAGGGAGTTTCAGGTCCTGGAGGCTGGGGGCTTGTAAGGAGGGAAGAAACGCTGAGCCAGAGGCGCGCATCTGTTGTTTCTGGATGGGTATGGTACTCTCTAATAATCGTTTTGGGAAATAATTCATAATACCTAGCGTTTTTCCTATAGTCCATTTTTTTAATCAAGAAAATACAACGTCAGATTTCTTTTGGGGGATTTTGCTCTATTCCATCATTGTAGTCGGTAAAGAGAATCGTTATCGTAAATTCGAGCTGATCAAGCTCGTCAAGCTCCTCACTGGTGCTCTTTGGGATAAGTAGATGCTGAAGGAGGGGAGTGTAGATAGACTGGACCCTTATTCCAGGTTTTACTGCGGTTCCGAGCCATGTTTACTAACGGAGAACGGCGAGGCGAAGTCGAATAGGTTAGGTATTTGAGAGGACCTATACCTCCTTGGCCTCTTGGGTGTGTCACAATATTCGTTGTCTCATTTCACCACCAGAAGGCTCAGCCAACCATGCAAGATTAGTGGGTAATCAAAAAAAGAAAATAAGATGTGTTGGGGATAATATTCCGCGCATTATCCTTGGTATCCTTCAGTAATTATAGTATTCCTTGGAGGTATCTGTATCCTCATATATGTCCAGGGTCTAATAATTCTACAATCTATATACTACTGAAAGCAGTATTCTATGGCACGGGCCTGGTATTTGGTTCTATTACTTTACTTCCAGCTAACACTGTCTTCGTATCCCACAGATGGGCTAATGGAACCGGCACGCTGGGACACTTGTGACACGAAAATCACTAGCCTGGATGGGGTATCTGCGTGCCGGCTCCGAGCGAAGCATGAAGTACCGATAGAACAGGGACAAAAGAGGAAGTAGTCCCGGGTTTCCAACGCTTGCAGCGTAGGTGGAGTGTCAGAAAGGCCTGGTCTACGTGGGAGTCATTGAGAAGCTACGGAGAGGTCATGTCAAGCTCTATCTGCCTTTATGACTGTGGGACAGTGTTTTGTATCCTTACACTAATCACGCTCGTGCATATCGCAGTTGACGTCTCACCCCAATGAATCTGAAGGATCAATTCGGCCTACCTGTCAGGAGAGAGAATGGACTACAGAAAACCAGTCCACGATGCCAATCCATGCGACCCCCAACGCAAAATGACCCTCCCGCATGTCCCCCCCACAGAGCACACTCCGAACCAGATACAGCACGAGGTACCCCAACTGTAGCATCACGACAGCACTCGCAGTGACCTGCCGCTTCTGGGATACCCCGCTCCAGCGCCGCGAGTATATTGCCGTGCCCAGATGCATCAGAATACAGCAGAAGATCACTGTAGAGATAGCGCGGCTCAACCCGGTCGTGTACGGGACGCCCAAATGCAGCCGCGCCGTTGCACCCGGCATATCCTGCAGATGGGCATGGTTCCCGCGGAAACGCGAAAGCGCCCATACTGCGCGCATGAGGGCGAATGCGGAGTGGCCATGTGTGCGGAGCTGCGACAGTCGAGACGTTGATTGCAAGGGCGAGCGCGAGAACCAAGGAAGAGGCGTGCTGGGCTTGGGCACGCCGTCCACCGCATGGAAGCTTGATGCAGCGCGAGATGCCGGATACGTGCAGCAGGCCTCCAGCTCGAGATGCATGGCCTCGAGGATGGTATCGTTCCACGTGCGCCCGCGCATGTTAGGGTAGGTGCGGTAGCTCGTGGCCAGGAAACAGTTGGCGGCTTTGTTCCATAGCCGGAAGCCGGTGTCCCGGTGTGCGTCGTAGACGATCTGCCAGATGGATGTGGAGAGTGGGGATGCGTGTTCGGAGGCGCTTGATGTGGCGAAGGCGGTTAGCGGTGCGAATTCATCCTCATGATGTGCGCTCGTGTTGGCTGACGGATATACAGGGGAGACACAATCAGACTCACCTGACGTAGAACCGGCGCACGTCGTCGTCAAGCATGTCCTCGTACATGTCGCTGATGGCAAGCCCGTCCATGCTGGCCGTGGCGAAGTCACCAGTCTGGAATTGGCGCAGATATACGAGCTGGCCGGGCCAGATACGAGCCGTCAGCACCGGATCCGAGGGGTCAAACTGGCCGGTGGGCACCTGCTGGAGGAACCAAGGGCCTGTATAGTGTCAGTAAATGTGCCATGGCTGTTTTCAGTCCAGGAAGGCACGGTAGGTCCTCACCAACTGTATTGAACTTGTCTGAGAAGATGATCCGGGATTGGTTGGGCCTGACGTGAAAAATCTTGTCTTCGATGGCGTCTAGCGCGCTTGCCTGGTCCGGAGCGATTGTCTGCTCCGTCCCATCTTTCCATCGGAAGTCATGCGAGGCGATATCCCAAGTCAAGTCGTCCGACCAGAGGAAGCCTGCGCCTGGGATGTAAAGACTAATCGGGGCTTCGGGGACCAGTGAGTAGGCAGGAAATGGCCGACCAGCAACCTCTGTGACTCCCGCGTAGAAAGCGCCAATTTGAGGGCGCAGGTTCCGCCGCAGAGAAGCAGGCAGGTAGTGCAGGTTATAGTTGCCTCCTGCCGTGGTCTCGCTCAGGGGAAAGGTGAGAGCAAAGATGGTTGCTAGTATAGCTACCAGCGCAAGCGCATGCTTGGACAATCCGGCAAGAAGCTTGCAGGCTATGATGGCCTTCGGGACACAGCAACATTAGAATCCGCACTATTGTAGCTAGAGGAAATGGGGGAAGGATGAGCTTGCCGGATGTCTTTGTGGGTCTGCAAGCGCAGCCCATTGTCGCGAGAGCCTCTGGCTGGAAAGGAGGGCGAGACAGTATAAACCGTCGGACATGGGAAGGCCGAGGCACATGGAGACTCCCACTAGTAAGTCCAGGATGCCGGCGATATTGCAAAGCCGTATTAGGCCAGTCCGGGCCCGAGACCAGCAAAGGATGCACAAGGCCAAATTCTCTCCCAGTGCCCGACTCAGGGCCAGTGCGTCGACCTCTTCGGCCGACACATCCGAACTACTCCCTTTGGTTTGGGTGTCATGATAATAGCAATACAGCCCGGCTGCAAGAGAGATAACACCAAGTGGCACCCTTGAAGGGGTCCAATCTCGGAGGCATCCACCGTTCGTCTCTTCGGTTAGGGCTCTTGCGGCCCCATCGAAGACCCGCCTCTATCCCACCTTGGGTATGGGACGTGCAGAGATTTTCCTACGCTTGGCCTGTTCTGCTCTGATCACGGAGATTGGCTGCGAGTCGTTGATTTCAGTTTATGAATTTCTATCCCCCTCTGACTCTCAATTCGTACGCACGCGAACAGCGACCTCCACGTGCGAGCTATGGGCGGGATTGGACTGAAAGGCGCACCCAAGTTACCCAGGACTAGGAGCATCCATGTATGGACTCCAGCGAACTCATTCGTTCGGAAAGGGATTCAACTCCAGCCTTAAACCATCCAATTGGTCTTGGAAGGTGGTTATCGTTCCCGAGTAGCCGAGGCCAGGCCAGGGGCTTCAAGCCAAGGTTCGCGGTGGCAGTCCCACCAGTATCCACACCTTTAGTTCAGGTCACCATGTTGATTGTTGTTGACCGACAGCTAAGGCAGTTGTCCAGCATGATGGTAGCCTTCAGCTCCCCCGCTGCGACGGGAGTTGGGAGTGGCTGGTGGATAGCTGATTTGAGTAGCGCTGCCTTAGCTGTATCCATCCATCCGTGGAATATCGTGAGTCAAAAGTTTCCAAAGGCGCAGCACTGGAGAAGCTCGAATTCCAAATCGAAGGATTCTGGACTATAAGAAGACGCTGCACCCTGGTAGATCCAGTCTCGGTTATTCGTCGACATCTCTGTCACTGCCACTGTCCAACATGAGGGCTGCGGTGCTGTTGGGCGTCCTTTCCCTCTGGCTGGGCGCCTGTCGCGTGCAGGCCGCCGCGGTCTTTGCGCACTTCATGGTCAGTAATAGACCATCTTGGAACTGTTCCGTACTTCCTTCCAATACTGACTGATTGCTAGGTCACCAATTCCGAGAACTTCACCACCTATGATTGGGAAATCAACATGAAGTTTGCGCAACAAGCGCATATCGATGCCTTTGCTCTCAACATGGCGTACGGTGACGCGACCAACGAGCCTTCCCTCGCCCTGGCTTTCGAGGCCGCCAACGTCAGGGGCTTCCAACTGTTCTTCTCGTTCGACTATGCTGGCAATGGTGCCTGGCCAAAGGCCACTGTCATTGACTACATCGATCAATATGGCTCCAATTCCGCTTATTATCACTACAAGGGAAAGCCCTTTGTGTCAACATTCGAGGGTCCTTCAAGCGCCCCGGACTGGATTGACATCAAGAAGAAGACCGGCTGCTATTTCGTCCCTGACTGGTCGTCCCTGGGAGCCAAGGCGGCTCTTGAGGCTTCCCCAGGCGTTCCTGACGGTCTTTTCTCCTGGGCAGCATGGCCGTGGGGCCCCAATGACATGGACACCTACGTGGATGCATCTTATATGGAGTATCTAGACGGAAGGCCATACATGATGCCCGTGTCGCCTTGGTTCTATACCAACCTACCCGGATACAAGAAAAACTGGGTTTGGAACGGCGACCACCTCTGGCACGACCGCTGGAAGCAAGCGCTATATCTACAGCCTGAGTGGGTGGAAATCATCTCATGGAATGACTATGGCGAGTCGCACTAGATTGGACCACTCCACGAGAATGCAATGGCTGCGTTCGAGATCGGCAACGCTTCGTACAACTACGCCATGGAAGATATGCACGAGGCGTGGCGAGCCTTCCTCCCCTATGTGATTGACCTCTACAAGAAGGGTACTGCCACCATCGAAAACGAAGGCGTCCAGGCCTGGTTCCGAAGGGCGCCTGGGGCAGCGTGCAAAAACGAAGGGACCAGCGGAAACACGGTCAGCCAGTTTCAGGTCGAATTCCCGCCTACCGAGGTTCTCAAGGATGAAGTATTCTTCTCCGCGCTTCTGGGATCGCCGGCCGATGTTTCGGTCAGTATTGGTGGCGTGGTGCAAGAGGCGACATGGTCGGACTCTCCAGACGGTGGGGTTGGGATCTATCACGGCAGTGTGCCATTCAATGGCAGAACTGGGAAGGTCAGCGTGGCAGTTTCTCGGAATGGCGCTGTTATTGCAGAGGCAGGAGGGACCATCTCCATGGACTCTTGTCTGCTTGGTATCCAGAACTGGAATGCCTGGGTGTCGATCGACTGGGCGACTGACACCATCTCCGCGACGCCAAAGCTGGATATCAGCGAGCAGGTCTGCGTCAATGGAACCGGGCCCAACAAATTCGCCAGTCTTTGCGAGTTCACCTGCTCCTATGGGTACTGCCCCGTCGGCGCCTGTGTCTGTACGGCCATGGGCGAGCAACGGACCATGCCCAAGGCCAAAGGAATCAAGGGTTACCCTCTGGCAGGGGAAGACGCCAGCTATAGTGGGCTCTGCGATTTCAACTGCAATTACGGCCCCTGTGATCCTGAGGCATGTGGTACCACCGAGGTTGCGCTCACCGTCCCCACCGTTTCGGATTTTGCGCCACCAGCCTGCGTCAGCGGCACTGGCGACGGCAACCTGGCTGGTCTTTGCAGCTTCAGTTGCGGTTTCGGATTCTGCCCCATCAACGCCTGTACCTGTACAGCCGAGGGAGCCTTAGTCCTGCCTCCAACAACACAGGACGTCGGCGGCTACGCAGCCCCAGGCATGGATGCCTCTGTGTATGGTCCTCTTTGCGAGTTTACCTGCAGCCATGGATACTGTCCTGAAGGAGCATGTGCCACCAATCCATATGGCAGTCCGGATGGAACGACGCCGGGCAAGGTGGGCATCAAACCACTGCCTTGCGCCTCTGACCTGAGCCCCTCGGCCACCTTCACCCTGTCAGCTGCGTGCACGGATGCCATCCTTAGCCTGCCAACCAGTGGGCCAGATGCTTCCTCTCACAACGTGCCAGCCGGATCTCCAGCCGTCTGCAACGAGGTCTGTGACTTCTTCCGCATTCTGACCGGCACCTGCTGCGGTCAGGGTGGAAACATGAGCAATCCGATCGACATTCCTGGCGGGGTGGTGATACCGCTGGATATTCCGCTGCCCTCTGGATACAAGCCCAACATCCCCATTACCATGCCTATTCCTGGCCTATACGATCCCGATGAGGTGTTTGGGAATCCCACTTCCACCACTACTACCCTGGTCCCCGGTTTTACAACGACTTTCACCTACTACTCCACTTTCCCTGTCACTCAGATAGACGCGTCGGGTCAGATCACAACGACAAGCACCAGCACTCCCATCGTTACGACCTCTGTTATTGCCACAACGACGAGCAGTGGTGCTGAAACCACGGATCCCCCCGAGAGCGACGATCAAGACAATCATGACGACGAGGACGACGAGGGCACCGACGGCAAGCACCACCGAAAGCCCCGCAAGACATGCCGCACGATCGATGCTGATATTCCTTTGACCACCTTTCTGCCCGGTATCCCCTTGCCCTCCTCGATCACTCTTCCGGCTGGTCTCTGCTTGCGCGAAAAGTCCAATGACGACGATGATGACTCGCTCCATATCCCGCCAATTGTGCTGCCTAACACTGACCCTCCGTGCTACACGAATGACTGTTCGCCATGCCGAAACGGTGCCTGTGGAGGTGATCGATCATCCGGTGGCGGCTCGACTAGCTCCAAAGATCCAACCAACCCAGATGATCCAGAGGACCCAGATGATCCTGAAGATCCCGATGAATGTCCTGCCAGCCAGGATGATCCTCCGAGCGACGACCAGGGAACCTGTGGGAACGGGAACTTCCCTGTCTGGGACCCAGTCACCGGGGCGATCAACTGCGACTATCCTGCCAGTGAAGCCGGAGACCACATGTCAGAGTGCCAGGCCAATGCCTTGGACAATCTGGAGGACAGTCTTGATGCCATTGACTGTTACACTGACTCGTGTGATAGCCAGCGGCTGTCCAAACGCGGGAAGGCAAAGAGTGCCTGCAAACGGCCCACCTCCTACAAAGACAGCCCGAATCCTGCTGTATGCGATGCAGTCTTCCAGTGCGATGTTGATCGCTGGCCAAATGTCTGCAACAATGCTCGCTCCGCCATGGACAAAAAGAACGCCCCGTCTGTGCTTACCTATCATGGGCGCAGTTTTCACTCAACCGGCAGATACCTATCACTGCATGGGCTTGACCAGAACAGTGATGGTAATGAACGGAAGGATCGCAAGGACCTCGGCAACAGGCCTGCCTACAAAGTACGGAACGGATGGGGTCTCATGGGTAAGAGAAGATACGAGCTATGCTCTGACAGTAGACTAACACTGGCTCATAGGCTGCGAAGTGGAAGAGTACCCCTTTGGGAACAGTCTCCTTGACGATGGAGCAAAGGCGCACTACAACGACCGGCCAACTCTACGCCTTATTCCTCAGAACGAAAATGGCAACCATGGAACTGAACTGAAAAAATTCCTGAACCACCTCAAAGCTCAAACGAAGAAGACCAACCCAACATACTGTATGAATGCGGTCATTCCTTAACCTGCCCTGCCGCATCGCTAACAGCGTTTACTAGGCGTGGAAGTTTCCAGCTCCTCTGGCAACACGAACGCCTTGCCAGCAGATTATTGCATCAGCGAGTACAATACCCTAGATTGCAACAACAAGTACGCTCAGGCCTATGGTCCGGGCTACATCTTGGTGAACGGCATCACAGAGGACGACCGGAAGGCAGAGCGCAACAAGCCGGGATTAAAAACGGCCAAGAATGGGACCTGTGGTTTGACGACCCAGCGCATCCCAACCGCAAATGGGCGCACACCTTGAGCTGGGATCCCGCTGGTTTGAAAATGAACCCTCCTCTTCAAATCGCAGTTACTTCCACCATGCCTCCACAGTTTCCGCCTACTTGGAAGGCGGCGGGAAAGAATAAGCCGGATCCCCCTTCGCCACCGGGACCAGGACAGAAGATTTACGTGGGCAATTCGCCCTGGGGCCGTTGGGAGCTCGAATATGTTTACCAGGGAGTCACGACAACAGTGGGCGCCCCAAAGCCCGTGGATGTGAAGGCAGACGGCAGCCATCTGATCTATGATCCCCCTCCAGTCCGAGGCTTTCCTTATCGACGAAAGCGCGATATCATCGATGCTGGGTCTGATTTAGCGTCAGAAGAGGCGGATATCCCAGACAGCGCACTCGAGTCCCCACGTAACGCCTCCGTGAGCATGGACCAGCTGCTGCCGGGCTCCCAACGACGCTTGTCGCGTCGCACGACCCCGTCCGCGACCGGCTTCCTTGATGCCAGGGTTTACTCAGACGTGCTGTGCCCGGCTGACGTGGAGCCGGAAATCTGTTCAGATTGCTGGTTCCAGAGCCCAGCCGCAATCCCCGATGGCGCAGGAGAAGCGGAGGAGACCATTCCCACGTCCACCTCAACAGGCTCGACGACGATTCCCACGATCCCCTCCGACGACAACCCAGACGAAGACATGTATTGTCTTCGATCACATAACTCCGACAGTGCATATCAGTCCTTTACCGTTGAGGAATACAGGCGTGCGATATATGGACTGTGTGCCGGCCAGACCATGGCCGTTGACGATGATGGACACATCTGGCAAGACCCGCACACGTGGCTAATAGCGAGAGCGTACTGGGCGGAGGACCAGACAGGCTGCAGTCCCCGCAAAGAATGGAGCATGACGCAAAACTGCGAGAGCTGGATCGGGGAGATTTTCCTGTTCTGCGATCACCCGCAGTCGAGTAGTGAGTATTATGGCGGAGCAGTGGTATGGAACGGGCCGGACGGATGCGTCGTCTTTTATCTGGGGAAGCAGCTTTTGGTTTCCTGAGTAGGGAGTGTCAATAGGGCTTAGATTGTGAAGTATAAATATAGCATCCATTCAATGCAGTCCTAGCTGTTCGTTGCCTAAGGCATTAGGGCTTGAACCCCACTGCCCGTTCCCTATAAATCCGCCCTCCCTCGTCATTTCACTTCCCGCGCAACTCTCCTTTCTCTCCATCCGTCCCCTTGCCTCTGCACCACCCACCAACATGGCCGACCCAGATAGAACAATGCAGCAAGCCATCGCCCGCTTCCGCACCCGCATGGCAGCCGCAAACCACAGATTCGTCCAGGACCGCATGACCGAGATCGAAGCAAAGAACCTCCCCACCGAGCAAGAGAAGCTCTGGGATTTGAGTGTGTACCGCCACTTCAACAAGCTCGCGACCGGCGGCACCGCACCTGCAGACCAGGGCACCGACGAGGATCGCCGCAAGGAGAACCGCCTCCGCGCAGCAACGCGCCTCTCCGACGTCCCCTCCCTCCTCGACTGCCTCCCCGTCCCAGCCGACGGCGTCAAGCCGCCACTCCTCCCAACCCCCGAATGGCGCGCCATGTACCTCGACACCATCCAACGCGTCTGCCAGCGCCAGGCGGACGACTGGGCCGCGGAGGAAGGGCAGAACCCGCCGGGCCCGATCCCACGCTGCGACGAGCTAGGACACTTCCTAGCCCACGCGTCCGCCGCCATCGACCCTGACTTCCGGTACGCGGGGATTGCGCCCTTCGACCCGAGCTATCGGTGGGGGCCCGACGACGACATCGTGAAGCGGTGCGCCGACAAGGCCGAGATATGCGACGTGCTTGCGAAGCGGCTGGAGCTCGTCAACAGCCCCGACACCACCGACCTCATCCTGGGCGCGACCTTGCTGGACGATGACCTGGAGGTGCAGGCTGGGTTCCTGACGGGCTGGGGGAACATCGGCGAGCATGCGGAGTGGTTTAGTGCGTACTTGTACTGTCGCGGGGCGGAGGATAGCGACAGCGACAGCGACAGCGACAGCGATAGCGATGACGAAGAGGAACAGCAGATCAAGGACGCCGCTTGTCTGAGCGAGTGGCGGTGGCGGGTGGTGTTGTTTCAGACGGAGGAGGATAACCCGCGCGTGCTTTACGGGCGCAGGCCGCGGTTTGATTCGATTGCCGAGTTTCTGGAGTGGTATCCGAGTTGGATTGAGGATCTGGATGCGAGGAAGGTGCGCAGCCTGCGCAAGCATGCTTGGGGTTGTGAGACGGACTGTGACTCGGATTGCGAGGAACCTGGGCATGAGACCCCCCTTGGCATCTGTTGATATTGTTTCTTGCAGAATTATAATAATATAAAATATTTTACAAGTCTGGTGTCTTGTACTATATCTATATATATTGTGATAATGGCTCGCTGGAGGCCTGCGCCCTCAGTCGCAGCGGTACACTTGACGGGTCTCAATGGCCGTGACTCATCCCGGGACATCGACTACAGCCATTTCCACCATAAATTGATACCTTCCTGTTATCGGTTCATCGCTTGATTAGTGCTAATGGACGCAACGGGTAGGGTGTGTAGGGTTACGGATCGCATGAGCCCTAGCAACGACGCCCATGCATCCAACAGACGGGATTTGGAAGGGCAGGGCTTCTATGACAACTACCCAAGTCACCTCGATAGCTGACTATGTAACTTTGCTCCTTATCCTGTTAACAAGCAAACCATGGGCCGTGACTATCTCCTAAGTCGACCCTGACGCCTGCACCCGGCCGCTACCCTAGCTAGCTAGGCAGCAAGAGATACCGACATGGACATCCGGACAAAGTGCCCTTTATACCATGATTCAAGATCTTCTCTCCGCTGAAAATAGAACTACTTTGGACTGTCCACCCCAGCGCAAAATGCGTTACCCCCTGCAGTACTAAATACACATAGAACGAGTAAAGATAGCTAATGACTACCTTCCTCTGTCAAGCAGAAGCATAAGCTCCACAAATATAACGCCTAGCCAAGTCCCCATGGCCGAGGGCGGAGAACTTAGTCTGTATCCCAGGCACACGCGAGTACCTAGGTAGCCGAGTTGGACGTCTATATACACCCATAGACGCTCAACGCCACGCCTTTACTGCGCACGGGGTTGTGGCGCTATTGCCAAATATCTATTAAGTACCAGGCTGCCATCGGCCCAAGGAGGTTGCCGAAAACAGGACGGCTTTAGCTGAACAGATATACAATCTACTATCACCTGGATCAATGCGTATATTCCATAAGCTGGTAATGCAAATCTGTAATGCCACCTGCAGGAGATGACAAATCAGTACATACCTAGCACAATGTTATGAAGGGAATACAGACTGTCGAATTATCAGATCCTGGATAAAGAGTTGTATAAGTATTATCCTCAATGCAGGTTCATTTCTCAAATGGGAAAGATGTTGATATTGCCCTTGGGAAGGCAGTTCTCGGGAGCACTTAAGACAATTTATTCTACGCAGGACACAAAGTTCTGGCTGAAAGAGTTGCGGGTGTTCACCTAATGCGACGCAATAAGTCTCAAAGAGCACTATACATATAATGGAGAGACAAAGTATTTGGTAGACATGTGATGGTAAACCAATTCTATGTCGCGGGTGCCAATATAAGAAATTCATACAATATGCTACCGTAGACCCCAGGTGTCTGTCTAATGGGATGAGATTGAGTTAGTGTTTCTACAAAGCCTACATTACCAAATAAACCAAACTTCAACAAACAATATTTTTGTATTTTCTATAATATATAATATCCCACATCAGGCTGGTATTCGTCCCAAAACGCCAAACGCCAGAACTCCAAAAAAAAGGGAAAGATAGTATAGTTTGAGTAAGAATTAGGTAGAAGACTCACCTACGCCCGGCCTCAGTATCCGGCTCACTGGTAATGCAAGTCTCCGCGCTCCGCCGATGACGCTGCCCCTGACGCTCCCGCTGTTCGTCCCGGTCGACAAGCGATCGCTCGGTCGGTCGACGGGTGTTGGTCCGTTCCCCAGTGCGCGAGCGCGAATGCGACGACGCCTCGGAGGGTCGACGCTCGGCGCGTGTCTCAGGGCGGGATGAGTGGCGGGGGGCATGGTACGTGCGCCTCTGGCTACTGACAGAGGAGACCGAGGTGGAGGGTTGGCGGGGCACGCCCGCGGCCGGAGGCGGGACCTGGCGCTCGGAATGGTGCGGGTTGTACGTCTTGCGGCGATCAGGGCCCGGGCGGGGGCGCTCGGCTTCAGCCGGTGGCGGGGCAGGGCCCGGGGCGCGCGGGACCTCCGCGTCCGTGCTCAGGGGCAATCCAAGGCGCGCCTTGGTGATCTCCGCCTCACGCTCAACATAGCGCTGGGCGAATGTCGCGCGGTACTGGTCGTACGTCGTGCCCGTCGGCAACTCGCCCCTGCGCGTCATGTGCATGTACTCCGCGGCCGACGGGTGCGTGGGGTGTTCGCCGGGCTGCCCGGGGGCGGGCTTCTTGTACAGGCGCGGGTTCATGGCGGGGGTCTGCATGGTGATGCGGAAGCGGTCGCGGTAGCGGGGGTGTGGGTGCGAGGTCCCACGTCTAGGGGGTGGATTCTCGCCGTCGGCCTTCTTGAGCGGGGTGGCGGGCGCGACGTGTGCGCCGTGTGTCCATTCCCACCATTCCAGGCGAGCGAGCGTGAGATCGCCGCGGACGTGGTAGAATTTGGTGAGGGTGACGGTTGATGGGAAGAAGCCCGGGGTGAGGATCTTCGTGTGGATTGGGCCGGATTTCTCGAGCGGGAAGGGCAGGTCCAGGAGGAAGACGAGGTCGCGGAGCTTGACGTGCGTTGTTTGGATGTGCTTGTCCTTCTTCTTGCCCTGGCGCTTGGCCCACGAGAACGGGGTGTAGATGAGACTCTTCAGCCCGCCGGGCTCCTTCTCCGTCTTGCGGTCGTAGTGCCGTTCTGTGCGGCAAGTTAGACTTGCTTCTCCCTCGCCTGTTGTGATGTCGTACCAGTGGCCGGCGTACGGGGTGGATTGGTGCTCGGCGCGGCGGACGGCGGCGTGGAGGGGGAAGTTTTGGACGTTGAGCAGGCGCGCGAGGCGCTCGTGGAACGAGGCTGTTACCTTGGCCGCTTCGTCGATTGTCCCCTTGATGAAGGTGTGGATGATGATGGGGTGGACGTCTTTGCCGCAGGTGAGGTACTTTGCCGGGACAGCGGGGTCGATGTCGGCCAGGACGTCTTCACATTCGGCGCAGAGGGTGTCCAGGGTAAGGCATGTACGCTGGGACTCTTCAGATGCGGGATTCGTCTGCTTTGAATCCGGGGTTACGGTGTTCGTGCTGACGACGGACGTGCGGCGTGATGTCGCCTTTGACTCCGGCTTGGACTGACTGAGATTCGAGCGCGAGCGGGTGAGATAGCTCCCTTCGCGCAGAGCCGGGTGTACATCCGACTCAGAGCCGGTGACACTATACTGGTCCACCTCAGCCTGGGACGGATTCCAATGCGCCGTCCCAGGGATCTGCGTCTGCTCGAACTCGTACCGGGAAAGACGAACAGGCGATGAAACCCGGGGTGTAACGGTGCCGTCGTCGGCTTGGTCCTCAACCGCGCGCTCATTGATATTCGACAACGGGCGGCTTCGCACTGAAGGGCTTGGAGGGGCGCGGGTGTCATATCGATCCCCATCCCCATCGCGCAGCGAAGCACGAGAGGACCGGGACGACGATCGGGATGGAGTGTTAGAGTAGGAGACCTTGCCGATCATAGAGACACGCCTATGGCCCATATTCGGGGAACGGACCTCGAACTTCTCACCGCGAGCCTCAACCGCCGCCCGAACCTGCTCCTCGGGACTCATCCCACTCTCAGAGCCAGGAGGCGGCGGCGCAGGGCGCCGGACCGCGTTGGCGGCCTCGCGCTTCCTCTGCTCCTCCTCCCGCCTTGCTGCTGCGTCAGCGCGGACTTTATCCTCGATGCTCATGCCGGAGGCGGTAGAGCGAATCGAGGGCGTAGGAGTACGTTGTGACTGGGGTCGAGTGGACGCCATGCTCTCGCGGCGCGCTTTAGCCTGGGCTCGCACCTCGTCTTCTAGTGTCATTCCAGACGCACGGGAACGCGTGCTGGAGACTGAGGGCGCACGCGAGGGCGGGGGACGAGTGGACGCCATGCTCTCGCGGCGCGCTTTGGCCTGGGCTCGGACTTCGTCTTCTAGTGTCATTCCCGACGCCCGGGAGTTCAGCGAGTTGGCGACTGAGGGGGCACGCGAGGGCGGGGGACGAGCGGACGCCATGCTCTCACGGCGTGCTTTCGCTTGGGCACGTACCTCGTCTTCCAGTGTCATTCCTGATACACGGGAGTTCAGCGAGTTCGCGACTGAGGGTGCACGCTGTGGTTGTGCCTGGGACCGAGCGGAGGCCATGCTCTCGCGACGCGCTTTCGCCTGCGCTCGTACCTCGTCTTCCAGGGTCATTGTTGACGCACGGGAAGACGAACGGGAAGATGCGCGGATTGACGGGGCACGTTGGGGCTGCGGACGAGCGGGGGTGGGTGTAGGGTTCGTTGACGCACGGGGTGTTTGGTTGTCATTGTAATCATCGTACTCGTACCCATCATCGCTGTTGATCGTCGCTCGGGACGAGCGCCGGGTGGGTGGGTAGGGATCATTGGGGGATGCAGGTGCGGGGATATGTCCCTCCAGTGCATCTAGTGCGTCCTTACGGTCGGCTGCGGCTGTTGGGGAGAGGGGCGCTGGAGGGCGAGGACGGCTGAGCGAATCCGAAGACCCCGGGCGCAATGGTGACGGCGACCGGTCCCGTGTGGGGGTCAGTTCGTCCTCATAATCCGAGTACTCGTCTTCCGGATACTGGTCTTGGTGCCGAGACTGGGGACGGTGCTGGTGGCGATCCGCCTGCTGGTCGTCGTAGTCATCCTCCTGCAGCTGATCATCGAACTGGCCATGGGGACCCCGACTTCCCTGTGGGAAATCGGAGTCCCGCATCGGCCGCTCGTCCTGCTCATCTGGGTAGAACGACGAGCGCACGGAGGCACGGCTTGGTGCAAGGTTCTGGGCCGACGAGAGCCCGAACCCACGCTGCGCAAAGCCAGGCTCGTTACCGGTGTTTCCGGGCTCGAACCTGTTGCGGATATCCGCAACGGATGAGCGGTTGGCGTTCGCGAGATCCATGGCGGCCTGGGCCGTTGTGGAGAACTTGGAGGGTGCGACGTTCTCAAACTCGTCTTCCGAGAACTCCTCGTCGTCGAACTTGTCGTTGACGGTGGAGTTCTTGGTGATGGTAAGGGGTTGGGGTTGGATGGGCGTGTCGTGGTCCATCTCGTCGGAGTGGTCCGAATCGTAGAGATGGCTTGAGTGCGACATTTTGATTGAAGACAGTTTGACTGTTGGAAGGTTAACTGGTATAGTTGTAAGTCACTCGGTGAAATTGATACTGAACAAATGCCCAATATCTAAATCCTGTGCTCGATGATGAGGGAGATGTACTGTGGTGTTCACGATGACTTTATACACATGCACATAAAGCGCTTTGTATGGCATTATCGATACATAATCTGGTTGTCCTGCCGCCTGGACGCTTTGTGTAGGTACTGGTAGTGTGGGAAGATGAGAAAGATGCATCTTTGATGGCCTGCGAGAGATGGACGGTGGCTGTCTGCCCTTTATCACCAAGGCTTTGTGAGTTCGCATTGTTCTTTCACCCAATGTGGACAAGGGCCTTTAGGAAATCAGTTGCTCCGCGTGTAACCGTTCTATTCAAAGGCTTCATCGTTTGTGGTGGAAGATTGGAGATGCTGCGAGAAATATGCTGTGCCTTCATGACGTTTGGCTTTGTCGCCCGTGGACGCTGGAATTGAATTCGAGGACTGGGTCGGGCATACAGGGGGGAGAAAGTAGATTGGCGGTACATGCACAAGATACCTAGTGGTTGTGTTTGACGTACTAGTTTAAACATCAAGGGGATTACTGACATGGCAGGGGCTTTAGGAGAATACAAGTTTTTGAGGAGGTTGATAGTCCGGCCTGGGCCTTTAAATAAGTATGGCATTCTTTGTTGTACGGGTCGCTAGCAACGGGAGTAACAAGCAGGATATATCTCCTTGAACAGAGAACACAGGCTTGGATAGAACGAAAAGCGCATCATGTTTGGCATGTTAACAGGGCAAGACACTGCCCGATGGACTTGCAAGTGAACCCAACTATATATCAAAGCACAGTCATAGCCAAATCAAGCAGGGTACACAATCTCAAGTGGCGTAGAGAAGATCCTGATAATCACAAGGGATAACCAAGAGATTCCAAACAAAGCACATAGAAAGATACTGAGATAGAAAAACCCGGTTATAGACATCGACCGACCAATGTAACCAATCCCAACAATCTCCCTCCATCACCTCCCAGCATCAACATCAATCCCGATGCAACTCCGGCATCACGCCCGCAAACCTTCGAAACGTGGCACACGGAAACCTCGCGCGATCAAACCACCTACACAACCAGCCCAACCTCTCGCGATTCGCATGGTCCGGCAAAAAAGCCCACTCCCACTCGCCCCCAAACACCGTATCCTTCAGATCCTCCAGCACACCACGGACCTTCTGCCGCGTGATCCCAACCCCCTGGCTCAGCGGAATATCCACGAGAATCGACACCGGCGTCGTGGTACCCCCCTTATCACCCTCCCTCTCGCGGCCCATGAAGACGAAGAACGAGATGCCCAGCGCCCGCTTCTCCCAGATGTGCTTGCGCAGCGAGACGTACGTGAAGTCGCGGATGAGCAGCTCTTCGACGTCGAGGGGTTCAGCGGCGGCTGTGCGCGTCGTCAGGATTAGCGGGGCGGTGCCTTCGTGCGGCCACCACCAGTGGCGGGGGACTTCGCCGGCGCGCTTGAGGATGTTTGTGAGTTTGGCGCACTCTTTGCACATATCTTTTGGGTCGGAGCAGGGCATTTTGCTGGGTGGTTGTAGACTGGGAATGGTGGACGGGGATGTGGATGGATAAGACGGTGGTTGGAGACTATGGTAGAGAATCCTGAGATGCTCACGGTGGACTTCAGACGGCAGTGGGAGGAATAGGAACGAGTGAATGTCGAGCAGCGAGTGGTAACTCATATTTAAGCCTTAGTCTTCTAGTCGATTGCCCGGGGCATGAGCGAGACGACCGTTTCATTGTCTGCCGCCACGCCCCTCTACCAAAACCACAGCCCTTTGTCATGCAGCCTGCTTACCTGCTTCTTTCAACTCTTGAATGAGTCCCAAATATCCCGGTTTCTAAAACAAGTCGAAATGATGCCAGTGTGGCCGTGGACCCATGTTCCGTGTGGTCTAGCGCTTACATGGCCCTATGCCAGGGACTTCATTATTTACTAGAGTGAACTAATACCAGGGCGTCGGGCACGCCGTATACCTATTTGTTTCAGGTCCTCCGGGGCAACAGTATCGTTGATGAAGCTTCGAGGGATAAACATGGATTGGGCGAATCGACCCATTGAAATTCATGGAGTAAGGGCAGCACGGCAGCAGAAAACTTGTTACCAAGGCTCTTTCGCTATTCATAGCCCAGTAGCCTTTCATGGGCTTTATTGAACCCATAACCCTTTCTTTGTCAGAATCATAGAACCGATGACGCCGTAGGGCGTTGAACTAGTGGGCGATTTGTGCCTCGTGAATGCTGGATTTCAGCCCGCTGCTTGGATATTCTGTGTATACTGGCTTCAATAGGCTACTTCCAGGGAACGATAATGGATTGATTTAGAATAAAGATTTCTCATATTCCCCTTGCTTTTTTTCTTCTTCGTTAAATATGGATCTGACCATGGTGGACTCGAATGGCCAAAGCCAACACTCAACGGGAACAACGGATAAAATGCATAAAGGCACAAGTAAAGGAAGAATTACTTACTCCCTTCAACTAACAAACCCACCCGGCCTCCTAGCCCCCGTCAGAAAGAGGTACTTATGGCAGCACTCCAGCTTGTCCTCTGCCTTGCCATTGCCATCCGTCCTAACACGCAGCACAACAAACATCTCACCAGCCTCACCAACATTCCCGTAAACCACGCCAAACGCACAAGCAGGGTGCCTAAAGTCAAACTCTGCACCCACGCTCCAGCGCTCCCCCTCGCATCAGCAGCGGCGGGGACATGTATCATGGTGGGCAGGTGCTTAAAAAGCAGATTCCCGTTCCGCGGGCCTATATCAGCATGCTGCAGCATGTTAGTTATAAGCTTGGCGGCGGGTTTGTTTGACTGCAACCCAGCCTTCGTGGATGTGGACGGGGTGCTTGGACTTCAGGGGTATATTTACATCTTCTCAGAAAGAGAATTTGCTCAAACGATGCAGGAAGGTCTCGAAGGAATTCCAACACAAGCACCCAGTCCAATAAGGGCGAAGATGGTACTAGAGAATGTCTTTGGTTCTTTCTGCAAAGAGCATTTGAGTGGATTTTCCGGACGAGTTAAACTTATCTTTTGGCCTATGATGTACATGACTAAGGTATCAAAGCCCTCTGCTACGAAGTCTTTCGTAGCCTTGCTTTGAGTTGCCCTTGGATTTATAACGCAAGACCGCGTAGCGATTCGATTATTCGACTTGATTAGATATAAACGCTGCTTTTATCATTTTGCGTTTTTTAATTATCAATAATCTTTTTTCCACCACTAGTGTCATCCCAGTAACTGGCTTGTGAGACCTGGGATAATGACTGGGGGCTAATAGTCAATAGAAATCAATGAACAAGGCCATCCGTTTTATGGAAGAGATGGTTGTCAATGGGAGAGTTACAAGGAAAGGGGCGAATGTGAAGTCCTGTCAGTCATTAGAATCAGCACTTGCCATCTAAAATGGAATATCCGTTCCCCTGTATAGTCTTTACTGATACCACATGATGTTATAAATCAACTGTGGAACTGACATCACTTTAGTGTCTACTACGTACTATAATCCAGGCATATTAACATAATAAATAATATTAAACGCACAGCAATAACAAAGAAGCATTTGTTCCTTTCCTCCCCCTCCACCATTCAATATCCTTGCCATAAATATCTCGAGGAGCAGGTAGACCAGGGCAATCCAACATCTCGCTCTCAACCAACAAACCAAACCCCCAATCAAGGCCCCCAAGTCGCCCTCTCCCAGCGCCAAACAAGCCTCGCCCCGTCCGGCATAAGCGGCAAATTACTCCAAATCTCCGTCGCCCACGCCGGCCTGGCAACATGCTCATCCAACCAGCGCAGCCGCCAAACCAGCGGGGTGAGTTCGGCAGGACACACAGCAGCAGCCCACAGCCCCCCCGAATGAGGCGGGAGTTTAGCAACAACGGAATCCAAAAGCGGTTGGTCAACACGCACACGCGACGGGAAGTCCACCAGCACGCTGATGATGAACATCATCTCCGACTTCATCTGCACACGGGCCGGACGGCGCGAGAGACGCACGTAGAAGGGGACTTCGACTTCCGCCCCAGTGGGGGCCCGGGTCGTGATGTGCGGGATGAGGGCGGCGCGGATGGCGGCCCCGAGGGCCTGCGTTGAGAGGGCCGGGTCTAGCGGTGTCTTGCCGCAGAGCTCGAACACGGCTGGGGTTGTGGCGGCGTCTTCCGGGGGGTTGATCATGTGCGCTGGGAGGCCGGCGTCGTAGAGGGGGGTGTACCAGTCGCGGATGATTCTGGTGCAGCAGGGGCATCCTGCTGGACCCGGAGGGGGCGTGCGGGGAGCGGAGCGAGGGAGCATGGTGGTTTGTGGCCGGGGATTCATTGCGGATGCTGGAAACAGTGGAACACGGGACAGTGGCTTCTTACCTGTATGGTGTGTGTGAGAGGTATTTCGAATTGAAGTATGTTCAGGGACAGGTGGTTTTCGATGGGTTTGGTGGGTGTAGGGCATGGTTTATATAGGGATGAGAATTTAACTTGAACAGAACACTTTCTAGCCCTGAACAATACGCGTTCGTTAGGATCACTTTGGTTCTTTGTTTTCATTCAGTTCCATATCGCTTTGGACTGCACGTTTCATTATGCCTAACAATGGTCTTTCTCATAGACAGACATGTCCTTATCCTTCGAATTCATTCCAACATTTCTTTTGATTAGCGCTACAGACAGCCCGGAGAGAGCCCGCTCCAAGTGTGAAAGCTCAAAGAGGCTGCTCCTATTCTCCTCCCAATTAAATTTTACGCGATCCAACTATCAAGAGAATGACAAGCTTGAACACCAAGCGCGGTAAACATGTCCATCTTGCGAAAATTATTATTCTTGCATGAATATATATATATATAAACACCCATCTCATATATAATGCTCCAGACTACTTTGTACCCCTACTGCTCCAAATATCCCTCAAACCAACCCTCAAACCACTCCAACCGCCACAAACACAAATCCTGTCCGGGCTTCGGCAGCACCACACTCCACAAACTCTGCGGCTGATCCGGACGCACCGTCCCAAAGATCCTATTAATCAGCGGCAGTGTGATCTTACCCTCGTGCGGAAAGTCAATCAGAACAGACATATGCATCGCCTTGCCCTCCGTCATCGTAACCTTAGGGTCGCTGCTCGTGTACATCCGAGCCCCGACACTAGCGCCGAACATCTCCTTTAGTTCCTTGCGCGCGTGAGAGGCAATGGTGATGGCGAAGTCGAGGTCCGCGATGCCCTCGAGTGTCCGGTTGAAGATTACGGGGTAGGTTCCTGGTTTGTAGGCCAGGTGGCGCGAGGGGGTCGCAGTGGGGTTGAGCTTTATGTAGATTTGTGTGCATCTTTCGCACATGTTTGAGGGGATGATGCACGACATTTTGCTGGTGGTTTTTTGGTGTTGGTATTTGATTGTTATGGTATGACCTTTGGTGGGTTTGGAAGCAGAATCGGGAGAGATAGTCAATTGATGTGTATCAGAGGTAGGGATATAGTTGGTCTATTTATGACCACAAAGGTCAATGTCCTTGACACATACTTTGAATGGAATACAGCTTCCTTTGTGGACGTCAATGTTCGCAATCCGTTCATTGTTTGTCCTTTTCAATTGTCACCGCACGCAGCGACAGCCAGACAACAGAACAGTCTTGCTCATGTCTTTACTTGGCTTTATCCAACCCTACGCGCGGAGATGAATACAACTTGCTAACAGAGCGGAGCAAGAGAAACGTCTCGACACAAAAAGCCAATGTCAACATTCTCCGTTATTAATCGAATTATGACAGAGGTCAGACAGCAGGACTTCTTCAGATAGATGAGTTGAAACAATTATTAGCCTCCAGCTTCTCTAAGCTCAGTAGATCATGGTCGTCGGGTATTAAGGTACCGTGCGATACAGATTGATATTTGGCTGAATCAATACCCCCTGGTAGCGCTCCCTCGACATGCCACGCGATGTCGCAATGGACGACTATAAGAATCGGACGCGTGAAGTATCATCAATTGCCGGGAAGGACTGGCGCAGGTCCACGGGGATTTTATTCCACATCTTGCAGTTCCCTACCAGCAGCCGTTATCCCATGTAACCATAATGCAGGAGATTAACAAAGGAGGTAAACCCTACGAGTGGTATGGGCGGGGAAGTGCGTTAGAAAGCACTAGGCACCATAGCTGCTTAGAACATTCCGATACGTCTTAACCCACAAGTTCCTCACAAATCACCATCGACGCCTGTCCTCTCCAAAAACCCACATGGATTTGAATTGGTTTACGCCAGGCACCAAGACCCCTTACGCGCATTTCCTTGACCACTTTCCTATTCTTTCTCCCGGAGCCCTTTCTGCGGAAGCTATGGTATTGCTGGCTCCGTACATCGCATTGCAGCCAGCAATGGGCCGACTAGGATGTTTGGGAAGTTCGATTCTGGGGTTGGGCTTCGACTACGTTCATGTATTTCCAGGGGTTTCCTATCCCTGATGTCCGGCGGTCAATCTAGGTACGCTACCGTAGCCGACCTTCGCTTAACGCCAGGGGTTAGTCACTGAAGAATTATACACCGGGTAAATTTTTTATCTCTGTAATCTCCGAGCTTGCCGAAACAAACTTATAAAGTGGAGGATCCTGTTATCGCCAAGAGCAACGGACTGATGCCCAGACCGGGCTTGTTCACATTAAGACTGGACTCCGCTGGGGATGCCGATCGTAATCCCGGTGTAGCCGGATTGATTAGATTAGATCACCTACCGGTAGGGCTTTGGCT